GCTGATACCTTGTCCCATGATGATGAATGATCTAGCCCAGCAATTTAATGCAGATATTTAAAAAGAGCAGAGAGAGTATGAGTCCTGTGGCACAATACAAAGGAGGGGCTTTGAGCTGGACCTCTCGCTCCCTATTACTGTAAGACTGATAGGGACCAGCCTCAGAGGAAGGAGGTGAACCAGCACAAAACGTATCTAACTTTTGAGTTGCAGTCAGCATGGATTCTTGTCCAGTCTTCCCTTTTGCCAGATTCATACTTAAAAGAAATTTCTTGACCTCAGCCTTTCACTGCTGCCATTGAGCTATGGCTGCACATTTCATTATGACCTTTCTTTCAGATACTGGAATAAACTCACCATGAAGACTTCTATTGTCTGGAAAGGCTTTAAGGAGGGAGAGTTTGCATGAAAACTGTTTATGCCTTTAATACTTTGCAAGTTGACATGTTCTACAGACGTTTAGCTTTGTCAAATGGCATTAACACTAATTAAATAATAGGGCTACACAGAGATTCAGATTCAAAGGTCAGAATATCATTTAGGGCATACGTGTAGCACCTGTCATGAACACCTCCAACCATATGTGTTCTTCTTTAACTGAGTGTCAGGTAGAGAGGAAGCCACACAAATGCAGGAAAAGATGCAACTATTTTAAAAGTATTTTCAACAGATGGTCACGCATACTTTAAAAGTATGCTTAAGTTGATATATAGAAATATTAAAAAAGAAAAAAGAAAATAGCTTTTCTTGTAACAAGGTGATTAAAATGACTCTTATAAAAAGACCTCAAGCTTAAATTAATTCCAATTTGCAATTGGGCCAAATAAAAATGAGAATAAAAACCAGATAAAATACTGTACATTGACAACTATGTTGAGATCACTTCATTTATTTTTTAATATAATTTTATTAAGAATTTTTATTACAGTAGTAAACATTAATACAAAATAAAGAAAATAGAAAAATAAAACGTGCAAGAAAAAAGAAAATGAAAGAAGAAAAAGTAATATATTAAAAACTGACTTCCAACCTTCATCACAAGTATAGAAACATTTAGCAACTCTTCACTCTCCATAAGACTACAAAATGATATATCTTCATCCCATTTCCCATTCTTTATATATAAACAAATTCATAAAGTTTTAAATTATGGTTTTAACAAAAAATCCATAAAGGATGTCCCCAAATGTCTTATTTTAACCTGGCTCAGTTGAACCAACTTTATATTCCTTCCTTTTACCTTTATCAGTTTTAATCTTTAATTCAATCAAATATTTTTGTAGGATTTGAGTTTTCTTCAATTCTTCATCCCATTACACAGGTTTATTGAAGGCAAGTCTCCTTTGCGGATCCAATAAGAACATATTTTTGCAGATCATTCTTTAGGTTTATCATTTTTATTTCTCTCTTTTTTAAAAAATAAGCCTCTCAAAGTTACCTCGAGGTAAGATGAATGGCCTATAAATTTTACAAACAAATAAATAAATAATACACTTTCTGCTATTTTCTTTGGTGTACCATGTAAAGTGTCCTTGATTCAGTCATTCACTTGGTCTGCCATTTGTAGTTCCACTTTCAGTGCTTTCTCTGTCTTTCACATAAAATTTATTCCACATTTGTTATTCCTTTTTAAACATCCTTTGGACATAGACTATGCATAGAAGTAGAATCATTACTGATAATGTTGATATTGTAGTGACTAATTGCTAGCTCCATTCTTCAGATATCTTCTTTAACATTTCTGATGTTATATTGTTTTGTTTTATTTCTGTAAATTCCAGTATTAACCAACATCAGGAATAGGCTTGCATTTGTCATTCTGAAGACCTCTAGCAGCTTTAAGATGGCTAACAGGCATTTTCTGAAAGTGATTAGAAATTGAGATCTACAAAAGCTTAAAACTTAATGTTCTTTAAAAGATTCTGCCAGTTATGACAAGATGGCTGATCCCTTCATCTCCTGGTGCTGAAACCTTCAAAAAAGTATTGTCCTGTCCAGAGTGCATATAGACAATTTCCACCCTCTTCTTTGTTTATTAATTTATTCTTTTTCATATTTTTGAATTCCATTTCCCTCCTTCTTGTTCAGAGAGATTCTGAGGAACCAGGCTACTTCCATGGTCTTTGTCACAGTTGTCAACTCCACTTTCACAGAGACATCTTCAGTTCACCATACCTCCCCTAAAAGTCCGCGATCACTCCATTTGTGTATGTAAACATACATCATACCACTCATCTCAATGTAGTAAAAAGTAAAGATTTCCTCTCAGTCCGATTCTAGGGCTTGATGCTCATCTCTTGTTTTTTGGCTGAGAGAGTCAGCATTGTCCAAAGACTATTTCCATGGTCATGTGGCCAGCCTGGCTATATGCCAAAGACACACAGAACACTGTTACCTTCCCACCAAAGTGGTACCTATTAATCTACTTGCATTAATTGGGGCAAGTAATGGGAGCTCACCCCATTGCACAGAGCTCAGATCTTGAACCCAGGTTGTCAGCTCTTCAGCTGATAAGCTCAGTATCTTTAATCACTGAGCCATCGCACTCTCTCTCATTATAGTATAGGCACCTAAAAATTCAAACTTTTAAATTGTGGAAGGAGGAGTGGTCCTAGATGAAGGACAGTGTGGGCACGCACACACAAATACCAATCATGCATTTCTCTCATTTCACAAAGCATGGGTAGATCATATACAATTGCCTCATCTGTATACTAATAGCGATAGCAGGTCTTAGATGATTTGCATTTGTAAATTAGCAATTACATAATGCCAACATGAAAGCACTTCTCTATTTACAGGACTAAGCAACTGGAGGGATGGATTACAAAGATTGTTTTGTAACAATAGGACAGAGAAATTATTCAGATTAGAAGTTAACTAATCTGCCTTTGGTGCAATATTTCTCTGGATATCTTAAACAGGGGCAAAGAACTAAGTGGCTCCCACAAGAAATTCTTTGATGGTGGAATCTAGAGATTATTTAATCTTCATTGCATTTCTAAGTAGAGGAGCATCTGCAATTCTAAGCAGGTCTTGTTTTTTCCTGTTTAAATTTGGTGGAGATCCTTACCATTTTTAATACTAAACACTTCTCTTTTACTGTAGCAATTCAGAAGCAGAAAACATATTAGGCTGTGATCTTGACTTTTATTGTTTTCAATGCCATAAGTGTAGTTTGCTTTAACAAAACCTCCATCTAGTTTTTCATATATTCTTGGGATACTGCTAGCAAGCCATAGCGTGAGGAAGAGTGTTTCCTGTCATCCAGGCTTTAAAAAAAATCAATTAGATTAGCATATTGTGAGGTACTTGAAGTGAGATCCAGCACATTTATACAGTTATAGCACCATCTCTATCCCATTTCTATATAGTTTTAAGTACGTGATAAACTCACTTATACACACCTCTTAGAAATGTCACATAAAATAATTAAAGGCTTCATCTGAAATACTTCTGCTAAGTCCTAAATATTTCCCTAACTAGATCTGTATCAACTGCCATAATGATTGTACAGATCTTTAGGACACAACGTTTGTGTAAATACATTATTTCAGTGCAACAAGAATTCAAGTGAATTTGATAATGAATATTTGTGTAAATGCCTAATGATACTTGTGAGTTTTGCTATGAAAAATATCTAAGTAAAAACACAAATATTGTGATAGATTTTGACATACAATACAGCATAAAAACACATTATTACTTTATGGGGTTAACTTTGAGAAATTATCAATATTTACTTTGGATTTGCTTTTGCTGAAATGCATTAAAGTTTAAGAGTTCATTTTGTACATGTTCAGAAATAGGATCTTCATTGTCTATTACTTCTTCAATATTACACTGTCCTACCAAAGGAAGTTTCTGAATGCTAATTTTCATAGAACCTTTTTGAAAACTCCCAAACAAATAATGTGGCTATCCACTCATTCCCTACAAGTTTCAGGCTTATCCTCTATTATCTTCAGCATTTAATATAATGCCCAAGTATGAAGACCAAATGTGGACTATTTGTCTCAATGCACAAATAAAAAATGTAGTTGTCTATATAAATATGTTGTCTGCTGATTTTTTTTCTTTCTAGTTTTATATAATACTATTCATATTTCCTGGATTTTGCAAAATCACAATTGTTTCCATATAGTTCATAGTACAAAACTACTCTCCTCATAAGATAGACAACATATCTGCAAGGGGCATGTTGAAATGCACTTTCTGTTTTGATTTTAGAAAGAAAAAAGTAAATTCTTATGGGCTCAAAACAAAATTACAATATTTTTAAACAAAATCCATTAAAAAAAATTAATCTCAAAAAAAGTCTATCTCCCTCTTTTCATATCATTGCCTAAATTGTTCAAGTAAATGTAAACCTTAGCAACTGCAATTAGAACTGGCAACTCTGTTGCTAATTGCCACAGCTCCTAAGTGGAAAAACATGTTACCATGATGGACCTATGACATCACTTCCCATTTGGTCATTGAGTCACTGTGGTCATTAAGCAAAATATCATGTGGATGCGACTTGTGATTTTGCTTCCGCATTCTCCATTAACTCTGCTTGATGCAAGCAGATTGGGAAGCAAGCAAATGGTAATCATGTGACCACATAATGCTGCAACATTTGTAAATGTGAAGCACCCAAATGGCAATTACATTACATGGGATGCTGAAAAGTCTTAAATGTGAGAATTGGTTGCAAAGTTTTTTTACACAGTGCTAACTTCAGACATTTGCCAAATGAAGCAGTAAGTGAGGACTACTTGTAGATGGGAAAAGGTAGCTGCAAAATTTTGATTGATCAAATCAACAAAGAATCCTGCAGGCGCTTCTGCACAATATTCTTTGCAGTGGATGGTGGCAGAAGAGAAATGCTGAGCTAGGACTGCATATTCCAGCTCTTTAGTTTCTTCACAATTTGTTCTATCTTTACAGCATTTCATAGCATCCATTTCTGCCAAAAGGTGTTATTACATTTAACAGATGGATGATTTCTGTTTTTCAGTTTGATATCAAGGAGCAGGGTGATAACTTGAAGCCTACATACACAAATCTTTCTACACAAAGATTAATTTTGCAAAGAGATGTAGACACAAGTCAGTTATGAAAAGCCTTATAGTTACAAGCATGGACTTTACCCTTATCATTTGTCATATTTGGCACATCAGTGCAGAAAAAGACTGTGGGGTTGTTTGTACCCATAAAATACTGTGGAGTTATTTTTTCTCTTAACTGTATTTTTTATTTAAGTATTGAAGAAAGGAAGTTTGGTGAGGAAGCATCTATTAACATGCATTCTGTCTCACTGAGAGATAACACCGTAGAGAGAAAAACTTACTGGCAGAACAGGAATAAGATCAAGATTTTTAACAGGCATTTCCGTCTTATTTTTACACAACTAAATCATTAAAAGTTAATACTGTTGCCAGATAAAGCACTAAATATATAAAAGGGCCAGGTTTGACCGTTACTAAAAATTGATAGCAAAATATGAAATTCTTAATTTCATTAGCACCACTTTTTCTACCCTCAGTCAAATAAGGGTTTTACATTTGTTTTGCAGGCTTATAAATGCACCATTGCTTAAGAGAAAATGGTGTATTTACAACTTACTACAGATGTAAATTTGGTATTAATTCATTAAAACAGAATAATTAACATGGCAGACGGTAATGTCAGTCACTGAAATATTTCGGAAGAAGCATGCCCAGATTCTGGAATCCTGTGCAGTTGCAGAAGGCAGAAAAGTGCTTTTGTCAATGCAAAACATCCGATGTTAGCAGAATTTCATCTGTCGGAACCATGACAGCTTTGGCTTCAGCACAGAAAATCTCTGGGTTTTGTTTTTAAGTTGGACGGCTTTGACCAAACCGAGCTTTTGTCCTAAATTGACAGAAATACATCGGAAAAATTGCAACAGAAGTTAACAGTAACAATTCATCGATTAATACAGGTTATTTGCTGCTTTAGTTATATGGTACCTGAACATTGTACTACCAAACTAGAAACTATCAAATATGATCTCTCATATTTCAGGGGAATATGTTATGAGACTTAAACTGATTTCACAAACATTTGCCCAATTAGTAATTAGATGCAGGGTGAATCAATGCAAAAAAAAAGGTAAATATAAAATAAAATTACCACATTGAATCCAATAATTGGAGCTGTAAACTAGTTTCTGAGGAGAATGAAAATTATAGTGCTCTGGCTGCTCTTCTATAAATCTTTATATATCAATTATAATATTCCTCTTCACTCTCCTTCTCCTATTTACTTAATACTTACCTTATAATTTTTTCAGGAATGTTCTGACGAATATTGACTTGTGCTGCTGCTCTGATCTGAGCTTCAAGTCTTGCATAAATTCCAGCTGCAGACTGAAAGGACAGAAGTCAAATAATCACATGATTTACAGATTAGTGCTTGAGTTCTTATTATACATAATAAGAGATGGATAGCCTTTGCTAAATGTTTCTTTTTGTCCCAAGGAGAGACAAGTTAAAAGCTGAACTGTGATTATATTGAAATAATACCCAGATTTACTAAACAATGAGAAGAAATCAATACAGGTAGTCCTCGACTTACAATTGTAATTGAGCCTCGAAATTGTTAAATGGTTAACTACATAACTCTGCCTGATATTTACAATCTTTTTTTGTCGCAGTTGTCAAGTGAAAGTGTTGTTAAGTAAACTGGTGATTGTTAGATGAATCCATTTTATCCACCTGCAAACAGCCATGAAGTTGTTGCCAAAAAGCAACTGGACTTTCATGGCTTTTTCCCCTTGAAAATGTTTTGCTTCTCACCCAAGAAGCTTTTTCGATTCAAAGCAACTTTGGGACAACCATGACCTGGATGATTGAGCACCTCCATAGAAAGTAAAATAGGACAAAATCCAGAGATGTTACTTAAGAGGAGGAGCAAAGGACAACCTAGTTGTGTATAGGAAATGGTGATTTGTTTTAATGTGATGGAAAGACCTAATCACATCCAATATTGCAATGTGACACCATCACCAACTAGAGAGGGAGACAAGAAAAGGACTAGACCAAAAGCATCAGGCAGTTCACGGCTAGGAAAACCAAGTAGGGAACAAGAAGATACCGCTATTATTTTTAGGAATCATTACTATACCCAGCATTCAATGGAGGGATTACTGGATTACAAAAAGGCAACAAATAATAATTTAAAGAAAGAAAACCGAATACATAGCCAAAATACATTAGTGATATTATATTAGAACAGCAAAAAACCTCACTTCTTTGTTTTCTTTTGATTTTAGGCGATCAAGATCCCCCAACCTCATTTTTATTAGATGTCCTGTTATCTCAATCATTCGCCGCTGATCTGAAAAAAAAAACCCACAGAAGAGAAATAGAAGAGTCAGTCTCTCTACAACCTTTTAATTCTTCAGAGTGAAAAAGTAAAGTAATTACTTTACTTCTGGTCAAAGACCAAACCCAACGAAAACAGGAAAATTAAAATAACATGTAATAAAAGCCAACTAATTAAGTAAATAACCACATCTAGAAAGATTTAAATAAAAAAATAAATATTAATATTAAACCCATAACCCTTTTTAGCAATTATAGTCACAAAAATTGGTAAACCTATTACATGTCTCTAGAAATCAATCCATTCATCTTTTCTGAATAATCTAAACAATGGACTAGAAAAGGTATTATTAATTCATAATTCTGGCTTTATACATGAGTACATGGTTTTAATGGCCCAAATCAACAGGAACATGGGCAATCTTGTGCTGGATGGCAGACTATGAAGTCTAGTCAGAGAGAAATCTTTACTATAAGAGACAAGAAGTTTTTATTAAAGTAGCTAGAGTAACGTACTATCGAACCCACCATTAGAGTAATGAGGACTGTTCCACCCATCTCTCTGTAGATCCAGGTTAAGAATTTGCTCATAAAGAATTAGGATGAGGGATCAGAATGATTTAGATCTGCTGTTATGAATTTCTCCCAAGAAGAAACAGTTAATAACTTGGATTAACTGTGGCAAATGAGCTTCCACTGAGTTTTGCTTAACTATTCTATTAAACAAATTAAACGTAAGGCAAGAAGGAAAACTTTCTTCATAAATTGGATTTTCATTTTTTTTAAATATTGAAAGAAAGGACAAAGAATATACTTCAAGGTTTAGATTAAAGTGTGTTTGCTGTAAACTAAAATAAATTAAGATTGCACAAATTAAAGTTAGATAATTTTTAAATAATTTTTCTATCTGTCACATTAAAAATTAAGTTTGGAGAGTTTCTGAGCTCAATCCTCAAGACTTTAGAAAATGCATATAGCCCAGGGCTGCAGATTATCCACATCTTCCAGGAGTATTCACTCGTTTCCTGGACATTAAGCAGAAAGATTTAATTCCTACCTCACAGAATCTTGGACATTTACACATTTATGCAATAATACTAGCATTATTTTATCTATTCAAATCACACAAGCTAAGCAGGTACACCTTACCTTCTTCTCTTTGAGCATCTTGATTGAATCTTAGTGATCTCGAAGGATCCCACTTGCTCTGCTGCATACTCATTCTAATGAAAGAGCAGATAAGCCATGAAAAAGAACATAGAAGCAATCAATCAATCATATTTTTTCTAGAATAATTCAGGACACTGTTGGTCTGTTTTGAAAGGGACAATTATCTGCCATTGCAGAACTCAGAGGAACTGGTTAATTTTAGGGTGGGTTGTGAAGTAGATGGTTGGTTTGCAGTTCCAGAGGAAGCGGATAATTAGGATCCTTCCATGGGCTTCAGAACTGGCTACAGCATTAAAATAGCACTGCTTACAATTGCCTATGACCTTTGGTGGGTAGCACCCCACTCTCTGCCCTTCCTTGAGCTCTCAGCAAATTCCAATACCATTGATCATGGCATCTTTTTGAACTAGCTCAGAAGATTAGGAGTGGGAGGCACAGGCTAGAGTAATTCTCTTTCCTCTAGTCCTGATTCCAGTTGATATTAATTAGTGAGGAGTTCCAAAGGTGTTTTTGCTTGAAAACATTTCTCTTCTCATCCAAGAAGCTTCTTCATTCAGAACTGAAGAAGAAAAACGTCTTCAAACAAAAAACAAAGAAAAGTCCAGTTGCCTTTTGAAAAGTACCTTTGGGACAACCATGACCTGGATCACTGAAAATCTCCATAGACAATTAATGGGGAGAGATTAAGCCTGTGGCCCTGCTTTGTACAACTTCTCAGAGTTCTAAGCACTCTGTACTTCTCTGTAACATCTAAAGAAGTCATCTGTTGACACAGGGCAAGGCATGACCAGTATGCTGATGATGTTTAATTATATATCTTTTCCCCAGGGCCCAGGACAATAAAGTTATTTATCTATCTCTGCATGGAGCAATATGCCCCCAGAATTGGTATGGAGGTTCTTGTTGAAAAGTAGCTTATGCTTAAAGAATAGATGGCAGCTGTGGAGTGGCTGGCCTGTGCATAGGGTCATCCTGTGTGTCAGCTGTGCAAATTCCTGTACCAGGAAGCCTTGACCATGATACCTCCGATTTTAGCAACTTCAACTTCAGATTCCAGATGCTCTTCAAGGGAATCCTGATGTAGATATATTACAGCAATCCAGCTGGAAAGTTGCTAAAATCGATATGTGTGTGTGTGTGTGTGTGTGTGTGTGTATGTGTGTGTGTGTGTGTATAATATGTTTTGCTAGTATATATATAATATGTTTTGCTAGTTTTAATCATGTGTCCTGTGTATATCATGTGTATATATGCAAGTCACTGTCACTGCAGTTAGACATGCATCTATATAAACTGTTAAAATAAATAAATTAATAAAATTGCCATCCCTTGCTTCATTTATTTAATCTCTCAGCTTGGGGCCAAAAATCATAATATCAAAATCAGAAATTAGCATTATGCTTACATACATATGTCACTTATGAAAACTAAATACAACAACTGGAGCAGCAAACTATGGCTTTTGCTCTTCCTCCAAACCACAAGAACACACCATAGCCGGAAACTATTTGCCAGTTCAGACATCAGTAAAATAATGGCATAGGAGGAGAGGAAGACATGCATAAGTAGTAAATCTCTTATCTACAGCATTAAAACTATGGCTTGACATATTATACTAACCAAATTAGTACAGGTAGTCCTTGCTTTCCTATTATTTGTTCACTGACCATTTGAACTTTCAGTGGCATTGGAAATAGAGACTTATGATTGGTCCTCAAGGTTGTGGCTGTTGTGAATATCCCCACAGTCATATGATTGTGATTTGGACACTTGGCAACTGGCCCACATTTATGTGTTTGCAATCACCCAGAGCCATTTGTTCAGATGGGCAGCTATATAAATAATAAATGCTAGAATTGGCCTTAATGGATTTTCTCTAAATTTTAGCAGATACTTACATAAAGGGAGATGTGTCTCGAGAGTTAGGCTGTCAGATAAAAGAAAAAAGGTAGATATTAAGAAAAATCTTAGATAAAATTTTCTTTAATTAAACTGTGCAAGCTACTAACTATGGAGGATTTTTCCTGGAGATACATGTGTTTAAGCTCAGAGAAACAAAAAAATAGGTTGTATAGTAGTTATGAAGTCAGATTTTATATCTACTAACAAAACTAATGATGGAAAGAAGGTATAGCTAACCTCATTATGACCAGTTTTTCTCATTTAATTATTGAGACTTAAGTCTTATTTTAGATCAGGGGTATCAAACTCAATTTCATTGAGGGCCGCATCAGCATTGTGGTTGCCCTTGGGTGGGCCGGGTGGGTGTAGGCAGGCTGGGTGCGGGCTACTAGGTGGGCGTGGATGGAGTGGGCTACTGGGTGGGCATGGCCAGCTCTACATTGTTCGCGTCAAGGGTGCCTGTGGGGGCCTGGGCAGGAGTGGGACAGATCTGAGGGTCTCTGGCAGAAGGGGGTGGGACCGGGGCAAGCACCAAGGCATGGTGCATTTCTTCATTCCTCACAAAGGGTGACACCTCCCCAGCATGCACCCAGGGGGCGGGGCCAACACGGCAGGGGCTGGTTCCTCACTGTTTCTAGACAGCCTTGTGGAGCTAAAACTGAGTGCGTTTCAGCATAGATGGCCACCACAAAATTATACATTGGCTCCCGGCCAGCCTGGGCCAGGGCCAAGGCAGCGGGGCCTGTTCCCTCACTGTTTCCAGGATGGCTTCGCGGGCCACATGAAACCACTTTGTGGGCCGCATCCGGCCCCCAGGCCTTGTGTTTGACATGTCTGTTCTAGATCCATCAACCAGAAAGTCCTATCTTAAACTAATTTTTCAGGGTTGGGCTGAAAATAAAATCAAAGTTGTTGCTACTTTCAGTGAATAACAAAAAATCATACCTCATTTTTATAATATTTTACGCATTTCAGATTTACCTTCTCCAATGTTTTTTCCTTCTTTTGAATATTAGGTGAAGATACTTGCTTTTTTGGATTTCTTATATTTTTTTTTGGCCTCTCTTTTCTCCCTGTTAATTAAAAATACTTCAATAGTGTATACAAATTATCAGCATATACCATATTAGGCTCTCTTCATTTGTTATATTCAAATACACAACAATTAATTAAAACATATGTTTAAGTTGGGAATCTGTATGTTTATTTCTTTAAGTACAGCATGCCAGAGTGATATTCTGAATAGGGACAGATTGACATTTGGTGTTTCTGGATAGTCAAAATGAAGCTGTATTTCTACACAAAGTGGCTTTTGTTATCAGAATCAAAAGTCAGAGAGAGAGACAGAGAGATTCTGTAATGCAAGAACAAAAAATACAAAACAATAATACTAAATTAGTATAGATTATATAATCTTATATAACATTCAATATTGAGATGGCTCCAGTGTAATTAACACCTGATCTTTGCCTATTTTTTTATTTGGGAGCTTTTTATAATTTTAAAATTTTTAATAATAATATTAATACTTGTTTGTATGTTCTGTTTTATGCTTTGTTGTATGCTGCCCACTCATTGTTTGCAAGATGGGTTGTCATAGAAACATGACAAAAAAATAAATGCAATTGATTCCTCTGAGAAATCACTGTTTAATTTTATAATCTCTCCCATAAGAGATTATCTAAACATTTCCACTTTTGTGCAATTTTTAATGCTGAAGTCAGGAGTAAGAAGACAACAATATCCTTAAAAATCCCAACACTGAAACAAAGTCCATTTAGTGTTTAGGTCTTATTCTAATTTCTTTGAATACTGTCTTCCATTAAGACACCATCTTTTCATAAACCCATCACTATGACAAACAGTTCCCTTCAGACTGCTAGACCCGAAACATCTTGATGTATATTTATAAAACATTTATGCTAGTCTTGTTGGAGTTACATGCATGTTGTATCTTCCACTACATCTCTTGCATGGAAACTGAGAGAAAACTACTTGATTTTCTAAGCATTTGCAACTTTATCTTTTCATCTGTTTTCCTAAATCTGTATCCCAAGCTTCTTTTAAACCTAGAAGGGAGTCATCCACTTCAAATATTAAGAATACTTCACATATTTTTGAGATTGCTCCTTTGGATTAGAAAAGGTACTTAATTATTCCTCCAAAAATAGTTCAACGAGATGCTGTTTCTTTGTATTCTTCGTGTACAAAAAAGGTTTGAGTTAGAACCATGTTAGCCAAGATAGACAGGATTCTATATGTAATTCAATCTCTTCTTACCTAATATATATGAAACCTAGAGAAGATCAGGGAGCTGAGCAACTGCCACAAGATCCAACCACATTAGCCTGTCTTGCTCCATCTCTGTTGCTTTGTCAGATTATCATCAACCAAAGAACAGATTGTGCACCAGCAGCAGTGATCCAAATTCACAAGCCGTGCAGCATTGGGTCTTTAGATCAGAGGTCCCCAATCTTTTGAGCAGCAGGGACCAGTTCCGTGGAGAGGATTTTCTGCAGACCGGAGGGGGGGGGCATGGTTTCATGTACTGCTTGCATCCCAAGGATGGGGCTTTGCGTGGACCGGTTTCTGGCATGCTGCAGACTCCTGCTTTAGGTAATATTCCCCCTTATCGCCTATATTTGGGGTGGGGAGACTACTCCCACTGTTCTACCCTTGGTATGGCACTGTTTCTGTTCTGTTTAAATAAAGGCAAAATGAAAAAAACATACAGTTGTGGAGTTTAAGCACAACTTTTAATGTGGAGCTTTCAAGTATCAGTAACCTAATTGGGGGCTACAGTAGCCAAGTTAATGCTACATATGGGAAAACCAATACACCAATTTTGGTTTTAAATGAGACAATGACATTTCTGGAATCAGGAAGTTTTCTGTTACTCTGGCCCCCATTTGCGTATATACTCTAATTTAATTTTTAATACAATAATGGATACATATCAAAGTTCTAGTATACAGATCTGTGAAGAGATTTTTCACTTTCTTACATCCCTATTTGCTGTCATATTTAATATCACAGCCAGGAAAAAAAAATACCTGTTTTCCTGGACACTTCTTCTTCATCACCTACTTCATCCTCTGTGACTTCAGACCCAGTTGTGTATTCATCATCTTCTGAAAGCAGCAATTGTTGTTTCTATTATAACCAGGGGAGAGGGAGGAAATTAATAGCAATAACAATAGCACTTAGACTTATATACTGCTTCACAGCACTTTACAGCCCTCTCTAAGCAGTTTACAGAGTCAGCATATTGCCCCCAACAATTTTGGTCCTCATTTTACCAACCTCAGAAGGATGGAAGGCTGAGTCAACCTTAGGCCAATGAAAATTGACCTGCAGAACTGCAGGCAGCCATCAGTCAGCAGAAGTAGCCTGCAGTACTGCATTCTAATTACTGTGCCACTATGGCTCAGTTGGATACCACTCATCTCCAAACAACAATAGATTGTTAGGTAACAGGATTTACACAACAAACTAGAAACAGAAACTGATTAGTTTAAAAATGGAATTTTCTTCATTGGTATATGTCTTTGAAAACTATTCCCTATATGACCCTTAAGGAATTTTTGACGTGCATTATTCACAGAGTTCTAGATTTTACTTTCTACCATATCTGGATTTTAAAAATTCTAATTTTCCCATCTTGATTATGATGGAATGGAAATAGTGCAGAAAATGTATGCTATATTCTCTATTCCCCTAACTACCATAAACAGTCCAGCAGTCTCATTCCATACTAGTTGAGATTCGCAAAGTAGCATTTAAAAAAACGATTCTTTGCAGTGCATTAAATAAATCACTAAATAGGGCAGGAATGGCAGGTTTTCTTGTTAATAGTACTTTCTTATTTGAATTAAAAATAAATTTCTTTTCCCATCACCAATCCCAGACACATTTTCAACTTATATAACTTTTAGGATTAGTAGGTCAAATGAAAGAGCTTCATGACATTCTTATATTGGTACTAAAACATACATACATACATACATACATACATACATATATATATATATATATATGTATGTTTTAGTACCAATATAAGAATGTCATATGTGTGTGTGTGTATATATATATATATATATATATATATATATATGGAGACACAACAAAGAACCTTAGAACATTACCATTTCTAAAACAAGGAATAGTTGGGATATTCTAACAAAACCCAAATGGGGACACTGCAAAAACTCCAAGGAACAGCCAATTGAAATGATGGTTAGTATCTAATAATTTGAGTTTAGTGCTCTCAGGAAGCTGCATGGCACTGGAACTTGGATGAGAATAATCAGGCATTCAAACAAAAACATTGCCCTTTTATTCTATGCATGTCACATAATGCCAGGAAACTATTGTGAGGATTGTCTGCTGCACTATTGTTGCAGTTTGTCAATTTAGATGAAACAGAGAAGGTAACCCTCTCTTGCCTGGGAGTCCTGACAACAAGACTGGTAGCACTGTAAAATGAATGGAAGTGCTCATGATTCATTCTCATAGGACTTGTGTTTCTTATTCTTTTAGATCCTGCCTAGCAAAACATTTATTTACTTATGCAGTCACCTATTTTAGAACAGCCCTCATATCAACAAGAAAAAGCCTCTATCTTCTTGCATTACAAATCTCAACCAGGTGTAGCGACTCAGAGTTGTAGCAATCGGCAACATGTTTAGAAATTCTATTATGTTTCAAAATAGTCCAAATATAATGGATTAAGTGGGGCACCATTTTTTTTTCACAAAAGGAGCTAATATTGAGTTGCAAAATCATGATTTGCACCACAAAATGCTCAGGTCAGGATTGAGAAAGATACCTTAGTAAAATTCAATGAAATTATAATGTATAAAATGTAAAATTGCCACCTTGAGCTCCTGAATGAAAGGCAGGATATAAACTTAATAAATAAATACAAACACAAAAGAAAAAACAAAGAAAGAGAAAAAGAAGAACAAGACCAGTAAAGTGTAAACATTCAAATATAAGCCACTGTAGCAATTGAAATTGCAGAAACCACCTTCTAGAGCACTTGGGATGGTGGGAAGGAGATGCTTTAAAGCTGAAGTAGCAACTTTCAAATAATATTCTAATTCTAACCTTTCCAGCCAGAAACTTGCAGTTTTCCACAAATTATCTACCATATTTCTATTCTAATATTTGCTGAAGACAGTGGTTTAAATTAAGTTTCAAGGGGGCTTCCTTGAAAGCAGGAGTAATTAAAAATGCAGAATATTGAAAATGAAGGAATTTTATATAATGGAATGTAAATAACTAAGATAAACATACCAGCTGAAGAGTCCAGTTTTTCAGAGAAAGGAACTAAAGAAAGAAAAAAAGAAAACCAGGAGAGATGTGAGAGTTGGAGAATGTGGCAAGTCTACTGTTAGCATTTTTAAAGGGACCTAATGCATGCACAAAGGGCAATTCTCCAATGGTAATGGTACAGACATTCCCCCTCCAAGGAATGGTATACATCAGCAGTTTGGGAAATGCTAAGCTATAACAACTTAACTTGAAATCATAATATGCTGCATTACATTATTATTTGAAAGTTCATATTGAGCTGGGTATTGTTCTTTAGTACAAAATCATCTCAAGATATAACGAACACAAGGAAGTAATATTCTTCAAAATTCAAACTAACATTTTTCTTACTTTATCAACCAAATAATACCACAATCGTATCTGCAACGTGATAATACAGAGTCACTATGCATACAATGATCAAAGTATTTTTCAGCCTTCTGCAAATTTGATGTTTCATGAATGTGCTTAGTGTCCTTGTACTTCACTCATCTTTTCATAGTCTACTTCAATGAATTATTTTCATTTTCAAGCAAGCCTTCATTACATCTAACATAGTATAGCTTCTGTGAAGCCAACTAATAAAAGCAGAAGACAGAGTGTGGGAAGAAAACAGAGGGCAGTCATTCATATATAACCAGTTTGGTATTGCACAATAACCAATTTCTTCAGCCCAAACACTTGGGTCACAGCAGCTTTCCCTCCTTGGAAAGAACTTGGCTAACCTGAGATGAAAAGCATCTATGCATCAAGCTTGCATCCAATTTACTGGTTTGGCAGAAATAATTTTCCACACATATTGTATTTACACATTCCCCTAAAAACACTAAGGTCATGTGCTTCTCTTGAAGGACAAGTGAGGATATCTGCAATTGTCCAAATTGTACTACATTCTTGATTATTGCTCAAGCTTGATGGGAGATAGAATCCAACAACATTTGGAAAGCCACAATTTCCATACACTATCTTTAAAAAAGTGCCTCCCTGAACTTATTTTACTCAGTTGAAATAAGCAGAGTGATATAATTAAATGGAAATTTAAATATAGGGGGGGGGGAACCAAAATTACTCACAGTATTTATTTCTCCTGCTTTGGGCCCCCATGATGAATTTGGCTCCAATAAAATATCACATTCAAAACCCTTCTCATCATTCAGCCCTATTCCAGAATTGCTTTAAAGAAAGAAACAGCTATGTTATTCTAGTCAGAATTTTGCAGGCAGCTGAGTGCCCAAAACAGAACACATTTTTAAAATATGAAATCAGCAAACAAACATGATGCCTTATTATACACAATAATGTTGTGGATTCTAGAGATTACTTAACTGATGGCATACATCTAGCAATTATTTTACACAAATAAATAGTAACATATACCTATTTTCTTACCTGTTCTGGTCTTTTGAAAAGGGCAGAACAATAATATTTCGGTGATGAATCAGATCATTTAGTACTTTTGCTGTCTGGTAGGGCACATTATCCCCACCTTCACCTCCAGGAGGCAAGCCAATCACATGATCTCTTACTTTACATCCCTTTTATTAAAAAAGAACAGAGAGTGAAATCCAAAGAAACGAATTACATAATACATAATTACAAGGGACAAAATCACACAATCTTTACAAACAAAAGTGATTTTGGCACAGTGGTTACAACACTTGTTATAACATGTGTTATTTTGGACAGCCAGTATAATGTAGTGGTTAATGTGTTGGACTACAAATGAGGAAAATGAACTCAGCCTCTGTCCGTGTGTGTGCGCATGCGTGTGTGGGCATGTGTGTGGGCGTGCACATACAGTGAGGATGAGGGGCAAAGGGGGCAGAATGCTGAAAATAGCAGTGCAGCATCATAATGCAACCCTGCCCCTTTTTGTATATGTGCTCTTACACTGCATTCATCTATCAACTGATGCAGAACTGATGACATGATACTGCCTTTATTGTTTTGACAAAAGCAGCCAGAATCTGTGGAGATCCATGTTCCAGGTTCTAATCCCCCCCTCTGCCACTTAGTGAGTGCCTCTCAGCTCCCCTCAACAAAGGTTTGTTGTTGTGGGAAAATAGGCCCTGTACTGTACTTAGGTATCTGTGCATTTTGTCTGTTTGTCTGTCTGTCTATCTGTCTGTGCTATTTATTTATTTATTTGTTTATTTCATTTGCTGCCCATCTGTTCTTGAACTCTGGGCAGCTTTCAGCACAAAAACTTTAAAATCATCAGAGACAAATACTCCTAACCCAGTAAAAAGAAACTACCATCAAAGTAAAACCATAGTTACAAGATGGGGAAGGAGGGAGCCAGAGTTGGGAAGGAGGAGATGAGGAGGAGGTGGGATTGGCTCTTATTTAATCACCTCCATTAGGACACTCTCCTGTTGGGTTCATTGGTCTGTGCATATTGAATAAAAGTAAATATTAACACTAGTGATTTAAATGCCATTCAGTGAATCATACCTCATTACAAGTCATAGTGAAACACTAAAAAGTAGAGTAAAATAAATACATAAACCAAATTTGCATGTTGTTTGGATGGCATTTATTTAAATAAATCTACAGTAGCTCATTAAAAGGGCAACAAAGTCTTGGGGCTGGAATGAGATTAAGGGTATAAATTATGTGGCAGGAGCAGGATGATCTCAAAAGATTTCCTCCAAATACATACTTTTGGAATAGGAGCAGGATCAAACCTAAGAGCTTTTTGGTTACAGCAGGGATACATTCCGGTACCAGTGGAACCAAGAGAACTTGCTACACCAGGATAGAGAACTGGTTGAGGATGATATTGGCAATGTGAAAACTCAGTGCACAGGAAAGTCTGCAAGAGACACCCAATAGCAACAAACATATAATATCACAATTACCATTCTTGAAGTCTTTTTTTTTTTTTTTTTTTTGCTTAAAAAAGAAGAAAAGGCTGCAAATCAGACTGGACTGTCTGATGCATTGTGCTTAAATATATATTTCTTCAAAAATGCTACTGTATAAATTTTAAGACAACTAAAAATCTCTTGAGGGGGCTAAAAAATACTCACTTGATTACATCTTGAACAGGTCAACCAATTAATAGTTCCCCAAAGACGCCAGTATACATCTCGCCATGATTTTAATTCTTCAAAAAGACTCAGGAGATACTCATGGAGATCCCAAGTTTTATCTCTATACAAAAAAATGAGCAGCCGTTTTAGAGAATTAGCTTTTAATTCTGACTGGTTACTGTTGCACAGGTTGGAAAAAACATAGTTCTTTTTTCTTTCATCTTTTCTTTGAGTGATTCTTATTGTGCTAATTTAATGACTGGCAACGTTTCATACATCTCACCTGTATCCTGCTAACATCATCATTTTGTGTTGATTACTATAGTGTAGGGAGAAAAATATAAACTCTGGATGGAGATTAAATTCTAACAATATCATTGGCATATCCATATTTATTTGACAACAATATAGAAGTGGTTTACCACTGCTTCCTTCCAAGGAACTGTTTTGACTTCCCAATCTAGAATAAAGCCTTGGCATTTCCTCATTGTCTCCCATCCAAATAGTAACCCAAGTGTGACCCTGCCTACCTTTTGTTTTCAGTCAAAGTAAATTATATATTTGAGCCAGTAACAGGGATTACATTGACCTGCTAAATTATTTTGTTAACTAATCTACATTTCAAAAGTCATTGTTCCCTAGTCATTGTTCCCTAGACAGCACCTGGTTAAAACTGTCAGCTGGAATAATAGACGGAGTGTAGTTTATAAACTAAAACTTTCCTATAGCTTACGTTAAAAGAGGTCAAGAGAAAAACACTAAAAATGTTGCTGCAAAATGACTTTTTGAAGCACCTTATGTGAATATAGAGTATATTTCCATACTGATCCACATTAATCTTTCCAGGAATACATGGAATTTTTCTTTCAGTATCCTTAATAAGAAGTTTCTTACATAAGTAACACCTGCACAAAAACAAAAATATGAGAATGACATTACAAAACTGCGGTGAGCTATGGAACACATTGCAAGGTAGTGCAAATCAGTGGAGAGCACTGTACCTGTAAAGGGTTGCAGCGTTTCCCTTAGAATCTGCATTCTGATACTTTGGATCAAACAGTCTTTCTATCTTCTTACAGAAAAGTTTGCTATTAGTTACAAAAAAAAAGACTCATAAAAATGAGTTACCAAGTATTTCATTCATATACTAAATGTTACATTACAAACAGAGAAGAAAAGTGCTTATAATATTGCAGCCATTTAAAAAAAAAAGTCTGCATAGTGATTCTGGTTCCTTGCATGGTGTTTTGCTCTTTCCTGTATTCAGTTCTTAATTCCTGATAGTGAGAATAATCTGAACTCAGTTACATAAGTCATACTGTTCTGATGGAGCAAGGAATTTGCCCAGATGGTTCTGAATATTAGCTGAGCACTAAAGAGTGACTCTGCCATATTCAAAGGTTTGAAATTACCCTCACAACAAAATTCACAAGCTTACAGTGAAAGTCCATTCAATAGTTAATACAATTTGGTAAGGAGATTGCTATTCACAAACTCAATAGATTCCTAACCATTTGAACTCGGTATAATTTTTGTTAGTTTGCGTATGATAGGAAGAAGGCCGTTGTGAAAGTGAAAAACAAAAACCCTAAAGCACTATCAGTTTGCTTAATAGACAAAGACATCTGTTAAATGTTGCCCAAGCCATCCTACTCTGGGTAATTGGTTGCAATGTCAAACTGCTCTTACTCATAGAACGTTTTTTCAATCATAGACCAAAATCTGTTTTCCTGAAATTTATGTTCAGTTTCCTACACAGTTCTGACTTATTTTATGTGACATCTTTTCAAATATTTGCAGATATTTAACATCCTCCTCAGTCACTTTTTTCAAGCTAAAACCTCTTTCCAAGGCTTAGTTTCTTTGATAGTTTTTATTGACTTAGAAAAAGTCTCATACAATTCCAACTTTCAGGATACTATGAAAGTGTGATGCCCAGAACTAATCACAATAAAGGTGTGGGTGTTGGGAGGGCTCGGGATGAAATCTGACCAAAGAAGAATAGAGTAATGCTACATTAATAGTTCCTTGGGCGTGGTCCATTGGGTGAGTGTGCTATGTCCAAGGCCAGGATTTATTTATTTATTAATTGATCTAATTTTTATGATTTGTTCAAGCTCAAACTTTGTTCTGGGAGCTCAATCGTAATTAACTAAATATTGCTCTCAATTGTGCATTTAATATTTCTTTCAAACTAATGATAATATGAATACAAAAGGAAAGGAGACAACGGTCAGGTTTTGTTTTGCTCAGAAAGTACCTCTTAAATTTATCTCTCTTGTCCTTCACCTCTTCTACTTCATTATGTGTGAAAAGATCAGTTATGCGGGTTAGTAGGTTAGCATTAATGCAGTTCATATTGCATGGCGTAGCTACAATTGTACTCATATTCTTGTGGCAATAATTAATACATTTTTCTACCTAAAAAACATAAACATAACTCACTTACTACTGAATAGTCATATAAATATTTCTTACAGCATTTTCATATTCCAAGAAAAGCATTAGAACGATCCAATGACCAGAAAAAATGAATCACTCGGACACTTTTACATATAGAGATTCAAATACTTACTGTTACCTATTAAGGTTGGAGTAGAGTTGGGGAAGAACCTGCTGGATTGATCAGGCTGAGGCTAGGACTGGGTGGAGCGATTCCTATCCCAGCAATCCCAGTAAGTTTGGTCATTCTTAACACTGAAGAAGATTTTGTACTGCACTAATTAATCTTTGAAGATAACTTGCATACAACTGGACATCATATAGCCTTATTTTTACAGTATTTCAACAGATATGAAGCTATTATTTTGGATGATAACATGTCCCACCTCCAAATCTAAACTAGTTTTTAAGCACCTTATTCAAACTAATCAATAACTTTAATTATACATTTGTAAGTAAAGCATAATAATATTGCAAGATAGGGACATGCATATAAAGAATGAATATATTGTTTATCTTTGCTTACCAAATATTTAGAAAATACAGTCTACATTTTCTAAGAGCTTAGAAATTAAGGCAAATCATGATGTTTTTAAAGGTTCTACAAACTTCTACACTTCCTGCTTTAGGAAATATCAGAGAAACTTATCAAGAAAGATTTTATGTTAATTAAGCTTCCTGCTTAAGTCAGCTGGATTTATTGTATACCATGTAGCTGGTGTTGATTCTTAGCAACCACATAGTTTTTCTCCATAAAAACCAACATGAGGCATTTTTAATACCAAATATTATTTGATCTGGAATAAAAGAATTTAAGGTTTTTTTTAAAAAAAAGATATGAAGAAAGAAGATAATTATAAGCAATTTATAATTATTAGCAAAGAGAACCAGTATCTACTGTATCTCTGTATAATCTCTGAAATGAATATAACATCCAAATACCACAGAGATAAAACACTTGCAAAACCATTGCATTTTATTTATTTATTTAAAAGATGGAATAAAAAATATAGTGGGATGTCAGACCATACAGATCAGCTCTGTGGGCGGTATGTTCTCATTCTAGATGAATTTAGAACAACCAAAGATACAGAATGCTTATTGCTAGAGTATACTCACTAAAGAGTCCATCTTCAGAAATTCAGAGGAAATAAGTATTGAAATGACATTGCTTGGTTCTAAAAAGAAAGAAGATAACAAATTGAAAAGTTATTAGATTTACAAATATTGCAAGTAGATTAAAATGAAACTAGTTAAAAATGAAAGGAAACATTGTAAAAGATGTCTCGCTTCAGAAAATCTGTGTTCTATAAAAATGGAATAAGAGAAAGTTTGGAGATTTGTTTTGGGCCCTTTTATCAACTACTTGGCCTTGGATTATTTAGACTTTTCAGTTCTACTTACATTTATATCTAAATAATTACATTGCTTAATAATTTAATGCTAAATAATTATTTGCTTCTTACTAATTTTTATCCTAACATGCTGCCAGAAATAATAGTGTAGGGTTTTACAATTCACATTATTATGACAAACCAAGCCCCATAATGCTAAGAAACTAAAGAAAGAAAGTAACTATCTCGAAGCAAGATTTAGAGTTTAAATCCTGACATTTTAAATGTATTATACAAACACATTCACGTTGTGGAATTTTGAGTTTCAAGCTATTGATCTCTCTTTGTTTGAAGACAAAATTGTCTGTTTTCAGAGAGGAATTGGCTTTCAATATTGAAAGCTGAGTTGAAGAAAAGACTAATTTCAAACTTCGATATATCTAACTTCAGTCCCTTATAAATTAGACCGTATGAAAGCACACTCAGTTTTTAAAAATGTTTGCATTTTAGATCAGATAATAAAGCTGGATCAAAATCACATTTGAAAACAAAGCAATATTATGGAAAGCCCGATTTTCCCACAAATACCCGTAATTTTCACACTAGCATTGCTAACTTAGCCTATTAGTTTCCACCCTAGAAATAAATCCTTCGTGATCTAAAAATAGATGTGCTTCCCTCTTTATATGGTAAGGAAACGAAAGGAAAGATCTGGTTTTAAACTGCATATGGACAACCTTTATGTAGCTGGAACTCTTACAAATGATTATGGTGGTGACAAAGCCTCTGAGAGCCATGGGAGATAATCTAAAGGAGAAGAACTAAAAATGTTTGTTTGCTCTGTTTAAGGAATGAAGGTGGGAACTGTTTGTTTGTTTTTGACAAAATGGTTGTTAAGCTTGGAATATAAAGCATGCATTTTAACCTTTTTTTTAAGGTTAGAATGCTGCTCCCCAAAATTTGCAGTGCAATGTTACAAGGAAACCAAGTAAAAATGGGGCCTGTGGACGGCATGTTTCCTTCTATTGTTTCAATTAAATAAATATGCCTCATTTATTATGCTATATAAACTTTAACAAGTGCTATACAGAACATAAGTGAGAACTAACAACTACTTGAACAGCATTTTTTAAAAAAAGAAAAAATGCTAAAGTGCTAAAAATTATTTGATTAAGTCAGAATCATATAGAATGAATTCATACCATGAATTTCAGTGAGGGGAAAACTGAGTGTACACTTAAATCTTCTACTGATTGCTCCTGGAATTAATCTTGATAGATAGTATCAAGAGCATTCTACCCAATCAAGGAACCACCAAAACCATTTCTACCAGCACTGATAGGGCAAACCACTACCAGTAGTATATAAAAAGAGACTAAACCCCACCCTCTAACTAGCACTGATGATGGTACCTAGTTTGGTAATGAAATGTCTGCAAGGAAACAATCAAGCTCAGAGAGCACCAAGGACCCTTTGTTACCCTTCCCTAGCACTATTTATCTATTTACATAAATACACACACGCATAAGCACAACAAGCAGACATATAGAGATGTGTATATTATATATACATAAACTTTCTCTCTCTCCTCCTAAAATAGGGGAGATATTTTTCATCATTGAGGCTATTATTATCAGTTTTTCACATGCTGTCTTTAAAAAAGGTTATAAGTAATAACCTTTAGAAATCAGACTTTAAAATAGGGTACTTACAAAGCTCTGTATTGATTTTTAGGAACTTTGATATATTTCATTCCTAAACATTTGCATCAAATCCATGCACTAATTTAGTTTAGATTGGAGTAAACCAGAACACATCAAATTATTACCAAATTTCTGGATCAGATACCAAATTTGGTTGGAATGGTTTTGGTATACAGAGTCCCAAATAACAGGGCATAATTATTTCTCAAAAGGAAAAGATGAACTTATGCATGAGAATGAAGGAGGTTAAATGGGAATCCCTAGCTTCTTAACTACTATTAACATATTAAGCTGTGTAGTACTTGTACTATGATCATTTTGTAAGACATGAATCCCATTAAACTTTATATCTTATTTCAGCTTTCCCTGTTTGTATAGATTAGACTTTCATCATAAAAAGCAGAACAGGAAAGGAAAACGACCTTTCAAAGCCATTTTTGCAATCTTTTCATCTGATGTAAGAGTCAGGTTTTCAAAAAAAATTGTGGCAAAAATGAATATATTTTCTTTTACCTAAGGTGGGTATTTCATCAACCTCATATTCCTTAGTGTTCCTTTTAACATATCTTATCAACCAGTTAAAGATGTGAACGTCACAGTGAACTGAAATGTCCACTTCTTCCCAGCGTTGGGCATCCATTGATAGATATTCAGCAAAGTACTTCATTTCAGAAATCAATAGATCACGTGGACAAACAAAATCTTCCTTCAGATTTTTTGCTTCATCACACACATGGATCACCATATTTGGCCTTTATTTAAGAGGGAAAAATCATAGGGAGGAATATTATTTTCATTATCTGGAATATTTGAATAATTTGTGAAAATTATTGTTCATGTTTAAATTTAGGTACAATTTTACTGTTACGGAAATATATGTTCTTATGTACACATTAATAGTTTAAATAATGCTTTCATGAGACAGTAACATAGATTTTCAAGTTGTAATGACTTTTTAATGCATGAAAAAAGTTAAGGAACATTGAAGTAGGAAAAGGATAATTGAATACTAGAATATATTTGGCTTAGTGGACCATGGGCTGGGTGAACATGCATTCAAAGCACACTGTATCTATGTCTGATAAGAAGCAATAAAAGCTTGCCTTCTGAATTCCCCATAATTATGGAGATGGGTAAAATACATCATTATTAGGAAACAGACCAATATAGCTTCATTCCATTTCTCCAGAGTAAAATTAAGCAAAGTGAAACATTTATGAACATGCTTAATTTGTTTATATTCTGTGTGTCTCAAGATACAGTAGCAGATAGTACATGCAAACCTGTTATTTGCATATAAATCTTTTGCCCAAACAGAAATATCTAAATTCAATTCCATTCATTACTAATAGTTCACTGAACTGTTCTTAAGAACTATCGAAGATCCTGTTATGAGCAAAACTTAAATAGCATTTGGAAAAGTCAGGCAGGAAGGACATGCTTGAATCCCATTGGCTTCAAGAAATGCCAGTTGTCAAAGCCAAGAAGATGGGTTTTTTTTTCTGTCATAACCTGCTTTATGTTACATTTTCCCTCCAGAGATCAGAATGGCCCCAACCTTGCTGACTTTTCATAGATCCTTAAAAATATGGCTCTATGCCCAGGCCAGGAGCCCAAGTGTGCGCAGGGACCTGATTCTTGGTTATTTTAGTAATTATGTTTGATTTATTTTTGGCTGCTATGTATTTTAATTATTTTATTATTGTAATTCTTTTTCTTTTCTTTTTTTTATTTTATCACCCACAATTATTTGTTGAAAGGGGTGGCCACACAAATTGAATGAATGAATGAATGATTAAATAAATAAATAAATAAATAAATAAATAAATAAATAAATACCAGGTGTGTAGCCTGGATTTTAATTTTTTCCACTACTGGACATATTTTTATGCTATCTATACATTTCCTTCAAAAACTCAAGACAATATACATCGTTCTTTCTTTAGCCCAATTTTATTCTCATCTATGTTTCCACAATTCTAATCCAATAGTGTTAACAACTAACCCAATCTCTATTAGATTCCATTGAATACTGTTTGACTTCTGAAGACAAAAAGCACAAGAAATTGTTTCTTTTAGTTCTTTATTAATTACAAAAATGTAATAAATAAAATTACATCTACTAGTAGGTAGAGTTATTGTGTTTATCTACTCTAATTACAATATGATTTTTAAAGAAATTCCTATATACAGAAGTTTCTTTGAAAGCAGAAGAGATACAAGAAAAAAAAGGTACTTTTGCGTAGGAAAAAAAGATACTCAAAGTTTCATCTTCTATATGCAAATGAATGAAGAAGACATGGCAGACAGTGAATGTTGCTCACACACTGGAACTTTCACTCCTAACAAAACTCATTTGGCTAGAGGGAAAGTTTCCGAGGCTGTTTTACAATCACAATCAATGATAACAATTTTTTTTCCTAGATAATTTGTCATAGAACTTCTGAATACTGCAGACCGTTTTTGAAAATTTCCCCTTAGATAAAATCTGTACACAAGCAAGGGAAAAATAGGCTTGCTATGAATCTGTTGGCAACTACAGTGCATTGACTCCTTGAGAAAACTGAGTTTTTAACAGAAAGCTTAGTATGCAAATTTTCAAAGATCCACTGAATAAAGATGAAAGAGAAAGCTGGTACTGATACTTTCAAAGTTCACTTGTTGAAAAATGACACACAGGAATCCCATAATCCCATTTGCCAAGATGACCCAGAGAAACAGTATTCCTGTCACCCTGGGTTAAACATTTACTTCTCCAATTTTATTCCCAGGCTGCTATAATCCAATACTATTTTTACTAAACTATAAAACACATTATAATTATATGAATATTAAGGGATCTAGAACTAGAATATTTTCAAAACTGAAATTAATTCAAAATGCTATGATACTATAATATCTGTAATATTTTTTAGATCTGAACATATTTATTTTTCACAAGGAACACATATTTTGAATGTTATTTTCCCTTAGCAAGCCAATGTAATGCTTCCCACAGAAACCCCAATTTCTCCCTCTGAAATTCCACAAAATATAGAGAAATAGTCCAAGTATATAACTATCCAGCAAAAAGACTAAGGTTAATCTAGCTGTTTAAAATGGAACAGCCATCTTCCTACCCTTCAGTTTCATCAGCATTTTCTCCACCTTTAAGTGCAGGGCATTTCTCACTTTCTGAAGAGCAATTCCTTGAGGAAGCTATACTTGACTTTCCTTAAATACAAGTGGGGAGAAAAAGCATTAGGTCATAATGTTGAGGTGTGTTACTTCTCATGTGTGGTAAGCAGTGTTCCATAGTCAAAGGATGATGTGATAGTTATTTAATTTTTAAATGAATACTTATAATGTATTTGCAGAAGAAAAGTTCTTTAAAAAATTAATACAACCCAAGTAGAAAGGAAAGGAGTAAATCTTTTTAATCTCAGAGTTTATTTGCACTTGCAAGAGAGAAGGAAAATCAGCATAATTTTATGTGCCACTATGTAGTACATGTTGTCTACTATGTTTTATGGGAAGGTAAGTGCAAACCTCTTGGTTTCATAGTGCTTACATAAACATACCACTTCTGAACTAGGCATAACATAATAGTTAATATAATGTGGCAGTTACCTCTGCCCTTATCAAATACTTTCTTCTTTGCCAATGAACAAAGAAGTACAAATGAACTTTTTTTTAAAAAAAAATCCACTGTCATGTGCCTGCGTTTTTCTTATTTAACATAGTGCTTCTAATTCCCCAAAATGATAATACTAAATCTCTGATTATCGACAGGGTAGGTAAAATAGAATCACTGAAGATTCCTAGTAAGTTATGTACAAAACATATCCCTGAAAAGAACAGCACCCAATACCAAGAGGGATAACTCTTTATCTATGTTATTTGTATCACAGATTTGTCTAGATGTTAATATTCTAAATAGATATGTAATCAGGTTTTGGCTGGTAAATTCTAACGTACAGAATCTTTCCATCTCACTTACTTAAATCAGCAAGTTTTCAGGAGGAGATAAATGATTTTACCACATAATTCTTATGTAGAATCTTTCTTTTCTCACACTTTTTACTGTCATCACACACAGTGGTTTATACAACATGCTCGAGTTTGTCTCCTTCATACTTGCACCAGCTTTCTCTCACTCATACTGCTCTTTAGTTATGCCTTATTTTTCTAGACCTACACATATGTTATTTGTGTAAGATTTCATAATGAGATATATACATCACCATATTCAATGACATTATTTTGACATGGTCTCTGAGCACCTAGCACTATCTTGAGTAGCAATGGTACCATTTTCAGTTGCCTTTTCTCAGCCATCCCTGAGAACATCTCAAAGCTTGTGTTCAAACTCTAAACACTGTACTACAGGTAATAGTCATTTAACTACCATTTCTTTAGCAACTGTTTCAAATTACAATAGTGTTGAAAAACTGACTTAGGACTGCTCCTTGCACTTAAACCATTGCAGCATCTCTGTGATCACATGATCATGAACTGGACACCTGGTAACTAGTTCACATGTACAACAGTTGCAGCATGTTGTAGTAACGTGATTACTGTTTGCAATCTTCCCAGACGGCTTCTGACAAGCACAGTCAGCCAAGCAGAGTCAATGGGGAAACCAGCAAGATATCACCAGTCAGTCTCACGTGATTTCTGAGCAAACAATAAAATTGGGTGTGATCACATGATGCCTTACATAACAACTGCACTGTTTAATGATTAATTTTCCAGTCCTATTGCAGTCCCAAATTGAGGAGTATCTGTATATTATACACCTATATGCATTAAATTCTTGATAGGTTCCTTATATGGTTTATGTGAAACAGCTTTCCTTGGTTTATAGACTATAAATTGATTGGCAACATTCCTGGAAAGCACTATTTTTTAAAAAAGCCGATAAAGAATTAATTACAGCTTGGTTCATATACAGATTTCATAAAGCAAAATAACTTTAGCATATAATAATGTATATGGTTCTGTCTAATACATAACAGAAATATGATATACTTTTGAGGACTAATTACTTTAGTTACTTTTAATGGTAGTTATGCAAGAAGTCAATTTTTTTATTTTAAAGCCACAAAATGTTTAATAGAAAATGGATATACAGTTTAAAAAAATCCAACATTAATTTTAAAAATCCATTCTAATTTAATCTAAAAAATGAGTGAACCAACTATTGTCAAAAGCAATCTATATATCAACAGGAGAAAAATAACATACATAATTCTATGAACACAACAGCAGAAGTGATTAAAACCTACCATTTAAAGAAATTGCATCATTTTCATTAGAGGGTTCTTGTAACTCATCCTGAGCATCAAGAAGTGATGATTTAATATAACCAGCTAGTGTTTCTACAGGTTTCAAACCACTAGCCATTAGTGGATTGAACTGGTTATCCACTGGAGAACTTCCATTGCTTTTCAGCTCATCAAACCTTTTTGCACACTGTCAAAATATAATAGAGAAAAGTATATTTAGTTACACATCTTGCCTTACCTATGATTCTGAGAGCTGACCAATAATTAATAACATAATAGAAATCCCCCTGAACCAGGCCGAGATCCATCTATTTTTTTCTCACAACCAGATGCTTCTGAAGAAATGGAGAAAAATCCCTTTCCTGTTATTGTTTACTCTAACTAGTATTTAGAGCACAGTTGCCCAACCTTTTGACTTCACTTGAGTGAAGAATTGTCTTGGACCGCATATAATATATACAATATAGTTAATGTCTATAAACAACAAGCTTCCTTTAAAAAAATATTTTCTACTATCTGCTCTCCAGGGCTACATGTAGCCCATGGACCACAGGTCGGACATGCCTGATTTAGAGAGACTCAACTTAGATATAAAAAATCTTCAAGGAAAAAAAAACAGTTCATATTTTTTTTCAATGAATTTATTCAATCCCCTTTTAAAATTGGTGTGATTCATCTTGTGGCAAAGAATTTTATAGGTTAAGTATCCTAAGGCAAAAAAAAATACTTTTTTTCCCCCCGGTCCAATTCTCCTTTCAATAAACTTTATTAGATAATTTCTCCCTTAATATTTTGAAAAAGGAAGAAAATTTTTATATACTCAATTATCCTTCTTTTTTAAATTGATTTTTATAAAATAAGTTTTTGGCAAAGTAAAAACAATACAAATTTCAAGAAAAAAGAAAAGAAAGAAAAAAAGTGACAAATAGAATTTTTTTAAAAAGAGAAAAAAAGATGTACCTGCCAATCTTCTTTATAGCATGTATACTCTATCCTCTCTTTACACTTATTCCATGGCTTCCTTTTTTCCATATTCTACCCTTTTTAATCATCAAGCCCATACATTATGTACTTCTTCAACCGCCTATATTTTAAGCTAAAGACCCAAATATTCGGTTTTTTTCTCCTAAAGATGTTTAAGCCCTCTGATCAATCTACTTTCCTTCTTCTGAAATTTTTCCTGTTTACAACATGGACAGTTTAGTGTCCTAAGGATCTGCTGTAGGAAATTTACATTTTTATAGTTGCTGCACATTGAATCAAGGTCACTGACCTACCCGTTAAGGCCATAAGTTCTTTTTTCTGAATGATTGCAGACAGCTTAGGTTCCATCAATGTACATATTATGCACCTGGACTGAGAGGTTGCCCTAACAATCACTTTATACTTACATGAATTAAATTTGTCATTTGCTTGGCCATTTGTCCATTTTAAAGACTTCCTTCTGGAGTTCTTCACAGTCACTTTTGTTTTTAATCGCCGAGAATAGATTGGTTTTGTATCACCTGCAAACTTGGCTAGCTTACTATTTTTCCCTAAATTAAGATCATTTATGAATAAATTGAAAAGCTCCCATCACAACAAAAACCCTTAAAGGTCTTTATTTCTTACTTTGCTCTACTACTTTTTTGTTGTTTAGCAAGTTAAAATCCATAACAGGATAGTATCTGATATTTTATTTCTACTAAGTTTACTCAAAAGTATTCCATAATTTTGTCAAAAGCTTCTTGAAAATCAGCTATCAAACACCAACTGGGACATCTCCTTCCACATGACTTTTTGTGTTCTCCAAAATCCCCATTTATATAAAGGTAATCCTCACCTTAAAACCATTCATTTAGTAACCATTTGAAGTTCCACAGCACTGAAAAAAGTGACTTATGACTATTTTTCACATTTATGACTGTTGAAGCTTTCTCGTGGCCATGTGATCAAAATTTGGTTGCTTGGCAATTGGCCTGTATTTAGGGCAGTCAAGTGATCATCATTTGCAACCTTTCCAGCTGGCTTCTGACAAGTAAAGTCAATGGGGGAAGGCAGATTTGTTTAATGATCACATGTTTCGCTTAACAATTGCAGTGATTTGCTTAACAATTGTGGCAAAAAAGGTCACAAAATGAGGTGCAACTCATTTAACTGCCTCACTTAGCTGATATTTACAACCAATTCCATAATGGATACACATAATATCAAACCATGGTAATTACTTAAGAATAAATCTAGAGTTATCTCCCTTCTGGTCATTTCTAAGACCATCTTTTCTAAGGTACAGCCATACAGGCATCCAGAAACCTGGAGGTTTTGTTCTAGCTTGAACATGAATGAACCCAGTTTATGTAAATGTAACTGAACTCTCCCATTATCACAATAATTTCCCTTTCATGCCTTTCGAATTAGTATCACAAACTCAGCATATCCCTAGTCTTTTCCTTGTTCATGGCAACATAGCGCATGTATATTTCAGGTGGGGAAATTGTCCCCCACCAGATGTTGCTGCACTACATCTGTAGCAATCCTGTCCTACCCTGGTTACTGATTCTGGGAATTGCAGTCAGCAGCATTCGGAAAGTCACAGTCTGCCCATTGTTAATCCTGGTCAATAACCATTTTTGGATCTTATTTGGTGAGCTGAAGAGGAGGTTTGAGTTTGGTATGGTTTTTTGTCAGCTTTTGTTGTTCCAATGGATGGAAAGTCCACAGCTTTCATTACCACTGTCTGGAAGACACGGGGTGGTACTATTGTATTTACAGACCCTTGGAACACCCCTGGGACTTTCAGCTGCCTGGAGGACTTACAGAGAGTGCTGGAAGAAATTTACCTAGGGTGGAGTGAGACCCAACAGTAATGGCAAGATGCGAGAACTATGGAATTAAATGAGGCCAAAGCTATGGCCTTGCAGTAGCCAAAAATGTGATCTATCAACAGTAGTCAGAAATCAGTCTGGATGTGGCTCTGGACTGCAGAGGTGCTGCAAAGAGCGGCTAGAACTTGATTGCTGGATTGGATGGAGTTGGAGCTTTGTCTTTAGAGTGCTGCTTTCATGTCCTGGCTTCAGTGAAGGGAGTAAATTGCCCATACAAGACATAGGCAAAATGTGGGCCTGATCAGGTTCTTGGGGAAGAAGTTTTCAGAGGTGCTGGGGGGAAACACACACTGTGGAAAGAGTTTGGTAAAAAAAACTGCAGTGATGGGGAAATGAGGGGATGAGCAAGAGGTTTTGCCCATCAGAGGAAAGGCTTTGCTCAATTCTACAAACAGAAATTCTTCTGAGGGAAATGTGTGAGTGACCTATGTAGCATACAACTGATCTCTCAGCTAGGGCCCCATTCATAAGCCATAATGGAAATTTGAAAAGCTACATTTAAGCAATTTTGTATTATAGCTTATTATGACTGAAATTACCATGATCAGGATGTAGTAATTTGTTAAATCAGGAAAATATATAAACTGTGATTAAGACAATAACTAGTATACAGAATATGCTAAGACAGCAAAACTAACATGAAACATTATTCTAGAACATCACTTTGCCAATAATTCAAAGTATAAAATCTGAAAATATACATTCAGGGCAGGTTACCTTCAGGGCATGTTACCACAACAGATAACATGCCATAACATCCTGACAACTTTTCCAAAGGCTTGAACATCCATAAAAGTAGTCCTCGACATATGGTCGTAATTGAGCCTACAATTACAATTCTAAGTTGTTATGGTTGTAAGTCAAGGCATCAGGTGATGTGAATTTTATGACATTTGTGTGGTTGTCATTAGGTGAATGCCATGATCATTAAGTAAATCAATTTTCTCCAATGGGTTTTTTTTTTTGCAGTAAATTGGAAGTGCTGGAAACTAGAAAAAATATCACACATTATGGTCACATGACCTCCCCCTTGCAAATATCTGAAAAGGTGGACCAATTGCCAAGTGTCCAAAATGTGATCACATGACTGTGGAACATATGATGGTAATTTTAACTCTGAAAATGGTTGTAAATAGCTCTGGAGAGGTTTGTCATAACTTTGAAAGGTTGGTAAGGAATTAGTCATAAGTCAAGGACTACTTGTACACACATCACATTTCCATCATATCATAATCTAGTCTGACTCTTAAAAACTTACAAATAAAACAAAACAGCAAAAACAGCAACAAAATATAACTCCCAAAAACATACAACCCATCTATTGTAAGGAAGTTGATACTGTAGAACAGTGCTTCTCAACATTTGTGTGACGGCGACCCCCGTCACACAAACGTTCTGCGCATGCGCCGGGCCGTGCGCATGGGGGCGGCCCACCCACGCGTGGCGCGCATGCGCGGCGGCGCCCCCATGCGCGGCGCTCCCCCACGCACGGTGTGCATGCACGGTGCCACCCCCATGTGCTGCGCGCATGTGCGCCGCCGCCCCCATGCATGGTCCGCATGCACGGCGCCACCCCATGCGCAGCGTGCATGCGGGCGGCGCCCCCATGCGCAGCACGCATGCACGGCACCGCGAAAAATGGCGGATTGCCGCCTTTGGCGACCCCCCCAAAATGGGCGATCGACCCCAAATGGGGTCGCGACCCATAAGTTGAGAACCGCTGCTGTAGAACATGGGTGTCAAACTCGCTGCATCACATGACGTGTCGCAACGTATTGTGACTTTTTTTGCATTGCCGGAGCTGGGGTGAGCATGGCCTCTGCATGATGCAACTGGCCTATGGGCCGGCAGTTTGACACCCCTGCTGTAGAATGATCAGGATGGACAATTAGATTGAATTCACACAGCCAACGAATACCTCAAATTTGAATATACAGGTTTTATCTCCAGTATTGCAAGGTACACATTGGTCCCTTTATTTCAGTCAAAGTCACTGGCAGTGAGATGGCTCTTCAATTTAATTAAAAATAATTGCAATTGCAATAATCTTATATAGTATTGAGAAGCTACAACATAATATAAATGATATCAGTACTAAATGGTATCTGGCCCAAATTTTGAAGAATGATTTGAATCTTATGCTTCTCTTTGTAATTCTAGATACTGTATATTTTAATAATCAGTCACTCCTCCTTTCTCCTGTTACATATTTATTTCCCTACATTTGAGAATTTGGGTTGAGTTATGGACTGGGCTAATACTGGACATAGTATTAAGCCATGATTTGTTATTAGACATATTGGTTGAGCTCATCCTAACATTAAGCCATAAACTATGTTTTAAAAATTACAACAGCTAGATATATGTCAGGTTAAACCACCAATAAACAAGACACATTATAGCATAACATGATTTTGAGCTCAACCAAATTATAGAAATAGGATAGCAAGGAAAAATGGGTCCTACTGCAAGTTTTTTCCTTAGCACAGTAAAATTGAACAATACCTGATATTAGAAACAGAAAGATAAACCTCTACATATCATTTAGTTTTTCACAGCATTTATTCCAAGGGAAGGTGGGTCATATATGTGCATACAGATGTATTGGTGTGCACATGTGCATGTATGTGAGTACATCTATAGTATATAGTATTAAAACTCTCATTTCAAGACATTTAACTAGGTGAAACAGGGCATCATAAGACCACAGTTTTTGAATTAAGCTATCTCAAATTGGCTAACTCACAGAATGTGTCCAAAATCTAGGACCTATAACCCCAGGGGAGTGAAATTTGGGGAAATAATAATAATAATGATAATACAGTTGGAAGGGACCTTGGAGGTCTCCTGGTCAAGCAGGAACCCTACACCATTTCAGACAAATGGCTGTCCAGTCTCTTCTTAAAACTTCCAGTGTTGGAGCATTCACCACTTCTGGAGGCAGGTTGTTCCACTGATTAATTGTTCTAACTGTCAGGAAATTTCTCCTTAGTTCTAGGTTGGTTCTCTCCTTGATTAATTTCCATCCATTGCTTCTTGTCCTGCCTTCGGGTGCTTTGAAGAATAGCTTGACTCCCTCTTCTTTGGGGCAACCCCTGAGATATTGGAACACTGCTATTATGTCATACCTAGTCCTTCTCTTCATTAAACTAGACATACCCAATTCCAACAATCGTTTTTTATATATTTTAACCTCCATTCCTCTGATCATCTTTGTTGCTCTTCTCTGTATTCTTTCTAGAATCTCAGCATTTTTTTTACATTGTGGTGACCAAAACTGGATGCAGAATTCCAAGTGTGGCCTTACCAAGGCATTGTAAAGTGATATTAACACTTCATGTGATCTTTATTCTATCCCTGTGTTAATGCAGCCTAGCAGCTGCCAAAAAAGCTGTGTTGGGTTTTTTGGCAGCTGCAGCACACTGAAATATGGTTCATATTTAAGTGATTGTCCACTAGGACTCCAAGATCCTATTGTGGCTGCTTTAGTGCTACTAGCTGCTCTGTGTTGCTGACTGCTGCTATAGTCATGTGATCTTTTTTTTCAACATTCTGTGAAAGTTTCCCAGCCAGTCTCACAATCCCTTGTTCTCTCTTCCCACCCAGCAATACACACTTACCTGCCCTGCTGGTGGGGGGAAGGAAGGAAGGAAGGAAGGAAGGAAGGAAGGAAGGAAGGAAGGAAGGAAGGAAGGAAGGAAGGAGGGAGATTTTAATGTTCCCTGCCAGATTCCTACAAGAAAACTCAATGGGGATGTCAGGAGGAAATCAGAACTTGTTCCTGCTTCCACTGATTTTCCTTACCCTTAGTCATTCTGCTCCAATCTTACTTTTATATTTATATATTTATATTTATTTGTACAGGTAGTCCTCAGCTTATGACCACAATGGAGCCCAAAATTTCTGTTGTTAAGTGAGACATTTGTTGTGAGTTTTATGACTTGTTTTATGACCTTTCTTGCCACCGTTGTTAAGTAAATCATTGCATAAGTTAGTAACCTCGTTGTTAAATAAATCTAGTTTCCCCATTACTTTGCTTGTCAGAAGGTCACAAAAGGTGATCACATGACCTTGGGACACAGCAACAGTCATAAATAAGAACCAGTTGCCAAGTATTTTAATTTTGATCACATGATTATGGGGGTGCTGCAAAGGTCATAACTGTGAAAAACGGTAATAAGTCACTTTTTCAGTGCCACTGTAACTTTGAATGGTCATTAAATGAACTATTGTAGGACAAGGACTACCTGTATTTGAATGAAGACATTATTAAGTTGACAAGAGGCTTGTGCACAGAAGTTCAGCTTCACTGTAGTTTTGATTGAATCTGCTATCTTTGTTTCTAATGTAAATCACTGTATACATCTATGAGCTGAAAAAGATGTACAATATTAATAAAATTTGTATAGCCACCCATCTTACAAAAAGCAGCTCTTGATATTAAACATACACTGAACTGCAAAAAGTAAATATTTTTCCTCTCTTGTCTGAAACTGAAGTTCCAGAAGCAGTAGTTAAAATATTGCTTGTACTGGAGAATTTATGTTCAAGCACTGAATTTATAACAGACCTGTGACATGCATAAAGACTAGTAAGCAACATTTCCAACTTGAACTTCCTTAAAAATAATTTTTCTGCTAAAGTTAGGAGAAAAAAAAGAAGCCTACCTCTTTGGATGAATACCCTGGAACCAATCTTGCCACATTTTCCCAGTTGACAGGCTGAGGAACTCCAAGTAAAGAACAAAGAATCATATCCAAAACCATTTGATTATTGTCGTGTGGGACATTATTATTTTCTATATATCCATGGTTCATTTTTTTTGGCACTGGAAAAAGACATGAACATTTAAAAATTCTCATACTGTTTAAATAATTTTGGTTTGCCTAATTATATAATAGCTGTTATGTAACCTATAAGGAAAGAGAAGCTTTCTTTGGATAAATATGCACCCAAAACTAATTAACTATTTATTGTATTGTTGCCAACATGGGAGCACAGAAACATCAGTGTCCATCTTGGAGTGCTGAGGATTGTCCCATCACATTATTTTTTCTTATTCTGATCCACCTCCCCCAATCCTGCCACATCAGGCTGGTATGTTCACTAGTTGTACAGGGGAAAGGCTACGGTACGAACATAAAAAAGTAAAATATATAAAATCTGATATTACTATGGCAGCAGTATTATCAAATAATTGAATTACTGTAGAAGTAAGTCAGGTAACATTAGACTTTAAAACAATTTCCCCCCAAAGTGTAAAAATTTTAATTAAAGTGATATACATCACTTATCATGTTAAGAAAAAAAGCAGCAATAAATGGATGATTTTGAACAATTCTCTTCTTGCAAGAATACTCATCTCAAATCTGAAATCTCACTACTCAGACAGAATTAACTTGCATTATTCTATTTTTTAATAAAATAAGTTTCAGTCATAGGACATCACAAAAATAACCACTCTAAAATAGAAATAAAAATGTATTGATAGAATGTTTTTTATTCAAATAAAAGCTATTTTATTTTTAGAGTAGGCTTAACAGCTACTCTTCTGGAATCAAATCTTAAGTCTTAAGACTCAATGTTTTCAAAGCGTTTACTACCCAGTCCATGATTTTTAGTAGTACACATTTGAAATCATATACCATTTCAATATTACTAAAGTAGGTTCTCCATTAGCATGCAAGTTTTAAAAAATTACTCAGAAAGAGAACACTGACAATAAAAGACATGAAACATTAATAAAATCTAAACATTGAAAATGTTTTGTGCTTTCAGTTTTCTGATAGCATTGGAGAAAAGTCAGCCACATATAGGAAATGTCCTAGTGTTAATATTTACCTGAAAAAACTGGGGATAAACAATTGGCAGTCAGTCAAACTTTATTTAAAGACTAGTGCAGAACAAAATAATTAACAAACTGTTTAAACTAAACAAGGAATGTGAAGGAATGAAGTTGGGATTTCTGCCTGCTCTTTTTAGAACTAGTTGCAGTCATAGAAACAAGCTTTTCCCCCTCAGTTCCTCCATGCATTCAGATATTCATTCATACATTTACTCAAAGGCATAGAAGCCAGTGTTGCAGCTGCCTATAACTGAGCCACACCCTAGCATTTTCAAGGATGCGAGGAAGTACAGAAGCAGCCCATCTACCTTCTCAAAACAGAAACACAAATGCTAAGACTGAGTGTATGTGTGAGGGCATATATATAGTAGGAAAGGTGATAAGCAAAAGGGGTCTAAAGATGGACAGCTATTATGAGGAAGCAAGAGGACTATCATTCAATTACCACAATCACAACCAACCATCACATATTCAGATGAGAGTCCAGCTGGAACTAAAGTGTTTGCCTGGAGCTTGGCAGTAACTAGAAAAGGAGCGACCACACTGAAAGAACACTTCATCCCAATGAGAGTGCACAAACTTTTGATAAAACATAGGTTATATATCACTTTAAAGACTATGAGTCTTTATGAAACGAGCATTTAAACAATATTATAATATTAAAGGATTGAATGTTAAAGGCATCTTTAAGGACAAATCACATTGCAAAGTCCTAGAAAGGTGTAGTTGACTCAGAGCAATAGTCTATTGTTGGGAAAGGCAACTGTAAGATTTGCTACACTATGGTGTATCCTTGGAGAGCAGAGAACCCTTACAAAGGGGACCAAAAATAAAAAAGCTAATAGTACAGAATATTGTCACTATTGCCACAGCAAACATCTCTAGTACAAACTGCCCATCCAGAATATTATATATCTAAAATTAAGAAACTTGAGATCATTTGCCACATAATTAATTAGAGAACAGGTTTTCTTTTCTATGTGCATTTTAAGGGCAGGAATTGCTCTCAATCTAATTTTTGTCCTGTACTTTTATGAAGAAATACAGTCTCTGTCAAACAATTTAAGCTTTATTTGAACATGGAAATGATGAAAAATTAAACCTTATAGTCCTGTATTTTTTTAAGTTAGGTTAGTGATGCTAAATGGAATTGCAGAAAGGACTATATAAGTGAAACAAATGGACTTTCCCAGAACAAAAGCTGAAAAAAATGAAGTAGCCCACATTCTACATCACCATTTAGTTTACTTGGATTACCTTTAGTTCTTATAAACTGCAGTGACTATTTAGTTGGAAGAAGCATCTTTCCAATGTCTAGAATGCCTTTAAGGTCTAATCTTTCATTTATTTCCTGACAGCCCTAATCCCCAATTGCATAAACAGACGCAGAAAATGAAATATCAGGAAGGGAGAAGGACACAGATAGTATCAATTACCGGAAGTATGATTCAAAAGGGTGTTCCTTGAAAACCAATAGGTAAATTCCTGTAAATTAAGAAATAGAGAATTCATTGCTCAAACCTAAATAACAATATTACATAAGAGAGAAGTAAATTATAACCTGAGTGGAGGTAGAACCTCAACGTCAACTTGATCAATCATTTTCAGAAAGCAAGCCACACTTTTAATTCTAAGTTTAGAGCATACAGCATCCTAAACTGAACTTGACCCATCCTTGGCTATAACAGCCGACATATTTTTTCATTCTCTGAGTCTTCCTTCATCTCTTCATCCTCCCCACCCCCTTTTGTGCAAGAAAGCCTGAAACACTCATGAAATGAGCAGCAGCTATCACTTCATTCACACAAAGTGGAGAGAATGTTCTAATCTACACACTTCTCAGGATATCAAACACACAAGCACAAGTATGTCACCCTCTCTCCTCAAATCCTGAGACTTCTCCCATTTTGTTATGGTAAGAATTATATTTTTATTCCAAGGTACACATAAACATTTAAGGTAATACAAATATTGCAAAAACGTTTTCATTTTTTTTAATTTTCAACTCTCAGGACTGTAAGTAATAAGAAAGCAAAGCTAGTACAAATGGTAACACGGTAAGAGCTTTGGATTCAATCCAAAAATACCAAGCAGTCTTAAATACTGGCACTGACATTACCATCAGTCAATTGCAAAGGGCAGCTATACTTGTGATGGTACCTCTAACACTATCAAACAATATCTATCGATCCCAGAATAAAAATGCCAAGTCCTGTCTAAACATCTGGGTGACTATGCACCCAACTGTAATATATACATACAGTATATATTTAAAAATCCCTATAGGAATTCATTTACTGAATTCTAACAATAGCTTCATAACATTCCTACCTCTTTAGGAATTTTACTATTAAAAAACATTGGAAATCAAGAGACTCACAATATTTTTTTTAAATGAACCTTTTTAAATACACCACTATCGAAGATATCATGCAATCAGATACATCATGAGTTAGGGAAAGTGCTGCTCCATCTGAGTCACTTATACTAAACTGGGAGACAGAGGAATTCGGCTATTTTATAGCTCCTACTAACTCACTCACCCACCCGTGCTCTCGCCCATCCACCTGCTCTCACAGCCTCTTTAGCCTTTGACAGACTACCCGGTCTCTTAATACCGCCCTTTTCTGATTAAAGAGAGAGAGAGAGAGAGAGAGAGAGAGAGAGAGAGAGAAATATTCAGTCATTCATACCCTAACTAGCCAATCCACGCGCCTCACCTCGCTATATCTCGCCTTCCCGGGGTCCCAACGAGCCTATAGCAAATCAGGAAGGCTAACGCACGCGCGCCTTCTCCTTTTCGTTTTTGTCGCAGTGCAGCGGCCTTGTCTGCTGGAGCTTTTTCTCACTCTTTCTTCCGCCCTGCCTTTTCGCGTCTGGTCACCTAGCAACAAGCGACAGCGCCCTATAATGCAGCTTAGATCATTTTTTCAGTCAGGGCGCTCCCTGGTTGAAAGGAAAATGGAATAGTCGAATAGGAAGGAGTGATGGTTAGGGGTTGATTGCGAAGAAGAGCAGTTTAGAAAAGGGCGTAGCCGTAGAATATAGATTAGAGGTAGACCGCCACGCGCCTCATGCAAACTTTGCTATATCGTCTCTTGCTCCGGTAAATGTAATTCTGGCCAACCTTTATTAAACGTGTTATCAAGATGCAAGACGAATGGAACTAGAATGCAGCTAGAAGTTAACCAATTTTTCTTCTATCTTTTTAAATGTGTAGTTAAAATTATACCTTGCAAGTCAATATTTATTTTCTTTAGTTAGAAATATATCAAGCTATGTGGTAGCTAAGAGCAAACAGGCCTGAAAGCATATAATCATAATTAGAAAACATATTAGCCCTATTTTACGTTTATATCACCCAGACTCCCTTTCAAATTTCTGTTGACTGAAAATTTTCCACCTGACCAAACTTTTAGATCTGCCCTTCTATGAAGGTGGAACAGGTGAACTGGTGTAAGGAGTGCAGGGTGGCAGGAAGCCAAAAGAGCAGATGGGGGAAAATAGTGGGATGGGAGTGGTTGCAGTGCCCTTGCATTCATAAGCGCATGCAGGCTGTCAAGTTCATGAATTCTTATTATGTGACCATAGGGGGCTGCAATGGCCAAAACTTCAGACAGAGGTCGAACGAATAAATTGTAATAACTCCCTATATGATGTGTCACAACGTATCACAACTTTTTTTGCATTGCTGGAGCTGGGGTGGGTGTGGCCTCTGCATGATGCAACCAGCCTACAGGCCGGCAGTTTGACACACTTGCCCTAGACTGAAGTAAATTCACATATAATAAAGATTATAGTAAATTCAAGTAAACTTCCCAAGAAACCTATCAAATTCAAGACTATTCAACTTTTTATTGAAAGTGGATAATCCTTTTTATTAGAATTCAACACATTTATAATAGTAAAGTATCAGAAAAATCAAATCTTTTAAACCTTGATTTAAAAGTTAGTTACAATCTGGAATCTACTCTTTTTACCACCAGATGTTAGGTAATCAGTAGGCAAGAAAAACTGATTTTAGGTACTAGATCCATATCAACATCTTTACTAGATCCATATCAACATCTGATTTTAGGTACTAGATCCATATCAACATCCATATCAACATCTAACTTTCTTAGCATGTTTTTGGAGGAAAACTGGGGTACCAATTTATATTGCAGAGCTTCATGCAAACCCATAACCATGTTAATAATAAAGAAATGTGTGCAATTGATTATTCAGGTCCGACCCACCTTGAGTCTAATCCTAGTTTTTCATTTCTGTGGCTTTTAGCTATTAATCTTATCAAATTACAAATTCAAATATTTTAATTAGAAATTACTGCTTCTTCACTAAATGAAAGGGATCAGAAAAAAAAATCTTCTCTCAAGGTCCTTAGCAGATTGACTAAATATGAAAAGTATGAGGAAAAAAGTATTTCCACATAAGGTACACTCATTTGAGCTCTTTGTTCTGTGCTGTAATTTGCCTGAAGATACAAAGCTGTTTAGAATTCTTAAAAAAAGGTTTGTAGCAAAGCTGCAAATAAAATATGTATAGAAGAATTTTAATTTAAAATTAAGGATATCAATTTGTATTTTTCAATTTGGAAATACATTTATTCCAAAATAGAGAAAAAAATTAATATATAATTTTGTTGCATTGTAAGTTCAAAGTATTTTAAGCTATCACTACTTTAAAATGTGATTTTTATGAGCAGAAGTGTTATCTTCATATCAATATGGCTTTGTAAACAACACCTCATACATTTTGGATACATAAGCCATGTTCAACATTCTTACTAGAGCAATTACTACAGATTTACTAAACAGAATGGTAAGTGAAACAACATAGTTGGCATTTGCAACTGAAGAAACTAACTACAGAAAACCATGTACCGGTATTTATCATTTTTATCAATCACTAGGCTCAGACTGCATGCGACAATGACATAATTAACTTTAAAACACATAGATATTGCCAATTTATGCTGAGCTTGAGCCTTTGTGAAGTATTCTTGACAGAACATGTTTCAGTAAAATGATGCAGGGAAATTGTTACATAATGTATCTGGAAGAACATGTGGCAATGTGGCTTTTAACATATAGCAAGTAACTTCCAATCCAAATTAAGAGGATTACATCAGGCTTCAAATGCAATGCTATAGAGCAGTAAAAAAATCCCCAGCTTTCATAATGAGGCATATAAAAAGAAATCTATCAGTATATACCGTAGAACTATAATTAGATGGACTTTTTACTGGTTTTTAAAAGCATATTACATATATTTGTTTCTATCCAGTGGGCACATTAGTTTCAACCCTGTACATTTTTCCTTATATCTCACAAAAATGTACAAAAATGACAGATACAAGGTACAGTCAAAACCTCTGAAAACAGTTTTTCACCACAATGCTACTATATGGAGCAGATTCTTTAGACTTCAAAAAGTGGCTTCAGGATCTATCTGAAGCCTTAATGTCAGCTTCTTCAGATCAGAATACGATATGTTGACTCTACAGTTCACCAATGTCTGAGATCACACAATGGCCCTTAGCATGCCTTACCCAACAGCCTAATGTTCAATGAACCTAACAGGATTTACAGCCAATGACAAATATCCCTATGCCTGATGCTACCAGGTGTGAATAGCACATTACCTGGATAGTGTCAATAATTTTAGCGTTTTGCTACTTACTACCAAATGGCTACCCTAAAGTATTATTGGTGAATGCAGTCCAATATCTCTGATAAATCTTCAAACATCAAAAATCGTCTTTATTTCCACTAAGCAGAGGAGAGTTTGATTTGACAGGGGTTTTGTTTGTTTCCACAAAAACAGACTCAAAAGCAGCCTCTTGCTCCTCCAAAGCATCAGCAGTCGTGCTTTCTTGACCCAGAGAAGTATTGCTGATTGAGGATTGATGCTCTGCAATCTTCTCTATCTCTAAGGTTTTTCTCCCTTTTCTTTTACCAAGTATTCGGACATAATTAGCTGGTATGAGTCCTGTTGTTTGACCGTCACGGCTGGCCAAAAGCCAGCCACGTATCTTGGGTTGTCGTTCTGGTAAGAAAAACAAAACACATGCAATTACCAGAAAATTCTTATATATAATGACAGAGAACTAATAAAAGTGTATTAGAGAACTTAAGACAGTTAAATTGGATTTATATAATTCTCCTAAAGCTTTTCAAATTGCAATGAAAACCTATCTGAAGAATGTTTATAGTTAGCAAAAGTTAAATTATCAAAATTAATGTTTAAACAAAAAAGACAGTGAAGGTGTTTCTTAAAGGGACTCATTTACATATCTCAACAACCAAATTTCTATTAGGAGTAGAGGTCTTTTTAGATAGTCAGATCCTAACCCATTTTATAGGTTTGCAAATAAACTGGCAATCTGTGCAAAACATTCAGTGCACTGCAGTTCACGAGAATCCCTGTAACTTATTCCAGTTAACAACCTAGTAGTCATATTTAACACAGATTGTCCCTTTTGGGGTAGTACAGATAGTCCTTGATTTACAATTCATTTAGTGACTGTTCAAGGTTATAATGTGATTGAAAAAAGTAACATGATTATTTTTCACATTTATGACCATTATAGCATCTCCATGGTCACATATTCAAAATTCAGATGCTTGGGAACTGATTCACATTTATTATGGTTCAAGTGTCCTGGGGTCATGTGATCCTCTTCTGTGACCTTCTGACAATGGGGAAACCAGATTCACGTAACAACTGTGTTCCTAACTTAACAACTTCAGTGATTCACTTAACAACTGTGACAAGAAAGGTCATAAAATGGGGCAAAATTCACTTAACAAATGTTTCACTTAACAACAGAAATGTTGGGCTCAATTGTGGTTGTAAGTTGAGGATTACCTGTATATTGTCAAAGTCAAAATGATAGTATAATCAAGGTGTGAATAACAGTCAACTGGACTATAGAGACTATAGCTGGAATATCATGTGTACCAGGCACAACTGCATGGAATTGTACCTTGCCATTTTTGCCATCTATAATCCAACAGCAGAAAATCAAGGTGTACTTCCATACTATAAACTTGCTCTTTTGGTGGCAGTGCAAAGCTAAGTTTAATCTCAGTTTCCTGTCCTGTTCATCCATAGTACCTCTATCTTCCAGGTTTCTCTCTCTCAGCTAGTTATGACTGAATTTACACAATACTGAATGGCTACTTCAAAGAGCTTAATGCTAAAGACCAATGTGACTCCTGAGTTAGTGACTGCTTAGTATCTTTAACCCAACTGTAAAACTATAGAGTTCAGAACTTGAGAAGAGCAGCATTAGTCTTGAACTCATGAACAGAAAATAAGGAAAAGATACCAAACCAATAGGGAATAGAAGCAGTACAACCATGATCCTTAAGAAAAATATAGCCAGATTCAAAATAGATATATTGTCATTGGCGAACTTATTCAGGCATCGTCAATTTGCTCCCACATTTCCCAATTGGTTTTTTGTGTATTTGTCATGGCTTTTAGAGTCTGACCTTAAAAGCAGAGGTTGTCTTGTTTTTTAAACATAATCTAGGGAATATTTTTAAATGCAACCACTGCAAATGGTTGTATGTACAGTTATTAATGCAGGACTGTTGCCTAAATGCAATCTTGTTTCTGGTTACTTGATCCCTTCTGGATAAGGAAGGTTTGAGGAATCTATTGCAGAGTTGTGGCGAGAATTAGATAAATCAAATCAAATCAATAAAATTACAGTATGTAGCTGATGGTTAAAGTTGTTTATATCTATTTAGAGCTGGACTGCAACTGTGCTGGTCCTGTAGAGATGACTGGGGTTCAATCTTGTCAAGTTATTTGGGCAGAGTTTAGATACTCCTGAGGAGGCCAATAGAGTCCTTGGAAAGTTAGATTCTGCCACCTGTGGGTAAGATCCATGCCTCTTCTGCTGTAACCAGACCTCCCAGGAGATAGCAATGATTGAGTACAAACAGACGTAAATGCCTCTTTGTGAGAGGTAGCTGGACCTAGCTGTATTCTATACTTCCCCCCCCCCCCAATCTCCAACCTTCCCCTTTTGATTTATTAAATTTCTATGCCACCCATTTCACTTGATACAGCAACTGAGTAACTTACAGTATAATAAAAGGTAAAAAATACTAAAAAAAATAATTAAAATTAGAAAAACTGAGTAGATTGAACAGAAAGGCTAAAAACCAAAATGATTGGCAGGTGGCCTGGTGGTGGAGATCTTCTGCCATAACCATGATCAATGCCAATTTTGGTTTATTTTCCTAAACAATAGCTTCACACATCAGCTAAGAATTGCTCTGGTCTCAGGGCAGAACAATTTGGGAACAGCTAGCAGTCCAGCAACTATACTGGTGGCGAAGACACTGGCCGGGATAAAGAGGACTGCTTGCAGCAGTTTGGGATATCATATAGGTCAGGGCTTTTCACTGATTGTACCACTTTTAGGATATGACAATATTCGAGTACCACCTAGCAAGGTGTCAAAAATTTGATGACCCAAAAACAAAAAAAGTTATAAAGTACAGGTAGTCCTCGACTTACAACAATTCGCTTAGTGACTGTTCAAAGTTACAATGGCATTGAAGTGACTTATGCCATTTTTTACACTTATGACCATTGCAGCATCCCCAGGGCCATATGATTTATATTTGGATGCTTGGAAACTGATTCATATTTATGATGGTCACAGTGTCCCAGGGTCATGTGATCCCTTTTTGCAACCTTTTGACAAGCAAAGTCAATGCCAGGGCTGCTGGTGGCCAAGTGCTAAGGCGGGACTTCCTTCAGACTCTCCCTCCCTTTCATTCCAATCTCCCTCCATCCTCCCTTCCTCTTTCCCTCCCTCCCTCCTTCCCTGCCTCCCTCTTTCTCATTCTCATCACCCTCCTTCTGAAGGAAGAATTTGAACCCCCCCCATATTTTCCCTCTTCCATATATTTATCAAACAAGGAAAAGCCTCCAGAGCAGTGGTTCTCAACCTTTCTAATGCCGCGACCCCATAATACAGTTCCCCATGTTGTGGTGACCCCCAACCACTTATACATCACTGGGTGCCAGGGGCGTGGCCAAAGAAAAGGGGGAAAAAATGGCGGACAGCCTTGTTTGGCGACCCCCGTGAAATGGTCATTCGACCCCAAATGGGGTCCCGACCCACAGGTTGAGAACCACTGCTCCAGAGACAGAAAAGACAAGGCCGCTGAGGGAACTAGCTTAAAAAGGTGCATTCCCCTTTAAGAATTAACTACTGGCTAGAAAGGAAAGTTAAGGAGCTGGCAGCCAGCACTTAAAAAAAACAAAACAAAAACAAATGTAGCAAGTACTGGCTGCCCATTAAGGCAGCCTCCCCAAATGGCTCCATTCATAAGTAAACAAATGCTACAGGAAAAATCCACTCAGGACAAAAATATTTCAAAATCTCTTACAGCAAAACTTACAGGTAGCACTAGCAGAGCAATAGAATTAGTAACCCCTCACTCCAAAATCCAACAGGAGCCATCAGCCACAATAGAAATTGCCAAACACTCCTTAAAAACACAAAGCCCACATTGCACAGAACTTCTGAGCCACAAAATCACATATGACTCCTTCCACACTCCCAGTTTGTTGTTCATCTTTCATTTTTTTTTCCTCTTAAAGGTATAGCCTCCTGGCTGGAAAGCAAGCCCCTGGCTTTTCCTTCCAACAATTCCTTGCTTTCTGTTTCCCTCCCTCTCTCCTGCTCTCTACCTCCCTCTTTCTCATTGCCATCTCCTTCCTCCCTCCCTCCGGGCCTCACCTCCAGCCGATGCTGCCTTTCTTCATTCCTCATGGAGGGCGACCCCTGACCAGCTGCTTTTCTTGCCTGTTTTCGCTGCCACCTGTGTGCACGCCCCGCACAGATGGCTGCCACAGAAGTTGTAGATAGGCTCCTGGCCTGCTTGATCTCCTCTCCTTCCCCCCCCCCATTCTTTTCCCTTCAATCCAGCTCCAGCTGACTCCTCCAGTTGGAGCTTTTCTCTCCCTCTATCGCCCAAACTGCCTCTCTTTATAGCCTCTCCTTTCTCTGCCCCCTCCTCCTCCTTTCTGTACTGGGTGAGCCAGAGGGGTCGATCCTGGGGCCTTTGCCTCGCCCCAGCCATCCTGCAGATCCTGAGGACTCTTTCACAGCAAGTCCTGCACTGTGCCACTTTGGCTCGTTCCCTCCCCCACTACACTTGGCTAGGCTGGGCATGGCCGCATACCACCTGCCATGTGCCAATGTACCACCGGTACCACATATCACCAGTTGAAAAGCCCTGATCTAGGTTACATGCTATGGCTAGCTTCATACAACATGCTAAACCCTATTTCCAGATTTAAAAAGCAGAACTGTTATAGTCATGTAATATGTTACATGCATGACTGAGGTCACAGAAACATTAAACCTTTAATTATCCAACATCACTTTAACCTAATTTCACTTGTTACACAAACCAAGCCTCTTACACAAGAATAAACCTCTGATTCATAGGTAATGGTTACTGCCTATAAAATTGTTCATGGCATGGGTTCTAGTTATTTGCAGGACCTCATTTTTTCCAACTACTGTTTCTGCTTGGCTCAACAGATCTTAGGTAGGGATGCACACTGGGACCCCTCCATTAAGCAGTACTATCTGGCAGGGACCAGGATATGGGTCTTCTCTATTGTAGCCTTTTGTCTGAAACATCATACTCCTTAAAATTCATTTGGCTCTGACCTTGCTGGCATTTCACAAATTGTTGGAGACATGGATGTTCCTCTAGATCACAGGGGTCATCACGTGATGTGTCACAACGTATCACGGCTTTTTTCACATTGCCAGAGCTGGGGTAGGCGCAGCCTCCGCATGATGCAACCGGCCCATGGGCCGGCAGTTTGACACCCCTGCTCTAGAGGTAGGTTTGATTGTAGATAGATGAGCCCTCATTGTGGTTTCACTGACTTTTCTGTACTTAGACGATGTCTCATGGCTTTCAGGTATCACTTGTTTTGTTATTATTTATTCTTTCATTCTATTGGTTTTTAATCTTGTATTGGTTGCCTAGAGTTGCAGTTGCAAGATGGGCCAATATATAAATATACAGTAATAAATAAACTATGTTTAGAGTGAACACTGTTATCTGTAAACCACTCAAAATTACCTCAAGGTGAAATAGGTGGCAAACAAATTTAATAAATAAAAATAAATGTGAATGCATCCTTAGCTAACCTTTTAGACATGTTTATCTTGGCATATTCCACTGAAAGGATGGGCTTTAGTTCCAGATAAATCTGGATGGAAATAAATATTAATATGAGAAAAAAAACCTGATATAAACTAGTAGATATGTGGGATATAGTTGAAGGAATACAGAATGGATTGGAAGAGATCTTAGGAAATTAATGGTAAAGGCCCAACTATATACAGGTAATCCTCAATTTATGAGCATAATTAAGGCTGGAATTATGGTCATAAATTGTGCCAGTCGTTAAGTGAGTTACTACACAACTGCACTAAATTTTACTTTTATGTGAACATGGCAATTTGCTAAGCAAGCACACTGTACCCGATGGGTGTTTTTGCTGAAAATCCAAATGCCGAAAATGCGACCATGAGACAACATGATCATCCTCCCCCCCACACACTGGTTGTCATAATTTTGAAACCGGGTCGTAAATAGCTCTGAGGAGGTCCACTGTAACTTTGAACGGACGCTAAGTGACTAATCATAAGTCATGGACTACCAGTATAACTTCAAGCCTCCAATTAATATACTGGCTAAGTCAGTGAACAAATCTTAATAGTGTAAATCCAGATACTTCTATGAAAATATGTGAACAAGGACCTTCTTTATTGATAAATATTTGCAAGTAGGTGCTTCTGCATCTATGAGATCAAAAAAAGTTTTCTTCCAATTTCTCATTAACTATTCAATTGAGCCACAAGATAAATATCTTTTCTGTTTTGATTTCTACAGAAATTTGAGAATGCTGGACTATTTTAAAACAAACTTATCTTACCTTTGGGTGCCAATTTTAACATTTCACCTGCACGGAAAGAAATTTCTTCTTCTGAAATAGCATTGAAATCATATTCTGCTCTTCCAACAACATGATCATCCTCTCCACTGGCCCAGTCACTGGAAACTGTTTCACAGAACAAAGATTAAGTAGTTCAATAACCTCGCTGGTGAGCGTGCAATCCCTGAACTTATTGAAAGGCATGATGTAAGAACAATCTTTACAACCAAATACAGGAAATCCACTTCAAACTTTTGCAAGCCACTCTGTAAATAGTTAAAAGTTAGAAATGTAAAGTTTGCACAATGCAAATGGCCAATGTTTATGGTATATAAATTAAAAGGAAACAGAACTCCAGTTTTTATTTTTCCAAAGTTGTCCAAACAAGTAACAAAGAAATCTGGCTTCAAATTCCTCTGTAGAAGACTGGATGTAGATTAAATAAATAAATTAACAAAGTTTAATATGCATGGAGTAATGCTTATAAAACTTAGTCTGTTTTTAATTTCTTGCAAATTCTATTAAAATAATTTAGATCTCCAGTATCCCTGATCTTGATCTCTTATTTTTAAATCTTGGAAGGAGCTACATTTACAACAATCACTTTGACTTTTGAAAAGCTTTGTAGAAGGCAAGTAAACCACTTGAGATCCAGGTTATTCATAGCTGTACACTATATTATGCCAGGTCCTAATAATAAACTTTTAAAATTATGTTGGCCTTTCCCTGTCATTATGTCATTTTAGGAAATGATTTTAATCCTTTCCCATTTTTATTTTATGCTTTTATAGCTTCTCTAAAATGCTTTGTGATTCCTAAACTATGAAGTTGCAAATAATTCATTTAATAAATAAACAACCTATTCCGGCAATTATCAAGGTAATTCACAATGACTAAATCCCTTTTACCTACCTTCTTTCTTCCACAAGATACCAAGATTGTACTAACTATTCATAAATGCATGCATTGGTTCCTATATACACACACACACAGAGGTAGTCCTCAGCTTGCAACCATAATTGAGCCCAAAATTTATGTTGCTAAGTGATACCTTTTGTTAAGTGAGTTTTGCCCCATTTTACAATTTCTCTTGCCATAGTTAAGTGAATCATTGTAGTTGTTAATAAATGGGTCGTTAAGTGAATCTGGCTTCCCCACTGACTTTACTTGTCACAAAAGCTGATCACATGACCCTGGAACCTTGCAACCATCATAAATTGAGTCAGTTGCCAAGCATTTAAATTATGATCACGTGACCTTGGGAGCGCTGCAACGGTCATAAGTGTGAAAAATGGTCATGTTACTTTTTTCAGTGCCATAACTTTGAAAGGTCACTAAATGAACTGCTGTAAGTTGAGGACTGTATGTATGTATGTACATATGTGTGTGTGTGTGCGTGTATGCATGCAATTAAACCCTATTAAAATTCTCTCTCTCTCGAATGAATTTTTAATAGTCTAATTCAGGGCTTTTCAACCAGTGGTACAGGTACCACCTGTGGTACATTGGCAGCTGGCAGGTGGTACGCGACCATCCTATAAAAGTGGTAGCGGGGGAGGGGAATGAGCTGAACCGGTTGTAGCATCGCACAAGCCTGAGTGAGAGATGGCTGGAGCTGCAGGGCTGTCGGCTCAGCGGAAGCACCAGGATCAGCGCCGCTTTCCAGCAGATCGGCACTTCTTCGGGGCTGTCAGGGCTCAGTGGAAGCACCAGGATCAGCGCCAGGCTCCAGCTGTAGCTCAGTGCTGATCCTGGTGCTTCTGCTGAGCCCTGAAGAAGCACCAATCAGCTGAAAAGCAGCACTGATCATGGCGCTTCTGCTGAGCCCAGAAGAAATGCCGATCAGCTGGAATGTTGCAGCATCTCCAGGGTCTTGTGATTTACATTCAGATGCTTGGCAACTGATTCACATTTATGATGGTCAGTGTCCCAGGGTCATGTGAAGTGACCAAAACCTGCTGCAACCACCCAGCAGACGGGGGAAATAAAAACCAAACACCCCCCACCCCACTCCCGCTGCCAATCCTCAACAGAAATGCTCACAATGAAAACCTAGAACAGGAGGAAGAGCACTGCTGGGTGGGCAGGCAGGTGTCTTGCTCGGCTGTGGCTTGGGGGGCACTTTTTTCAGTCCCATTGTAACTTCGAGCAGTCACTAAGCGAACTGTTGTAAGTCAAGGACTATCTGTACTTTATCACTTTTTTCCTTTTTTTGGGGGGGGTCATCAAGTGTTTGACACCTTGCTAGGCGACTGGTGATACACAGATGTTGCCATATCCTAAAAGTGGTACAATGGGTGAAAAGGTTGAAAAGCCCTGGTCTAATTATTCTTGCATCCTTAAAACCATTTCTAACTTTTAAAACTTTTAATTCTAAAATTTTAACTCTTAACATTTTAATTTTTTAAATTGTAAATGTTAAATCAAATGTTAAATTAAAATGAGCCCCTGTATGAGGGAGATGAGTGGTTAAGGTTGATATATATTTTTATGTACATTGCCCAGAGTGCCTCTTTGAGGGAGGTGGGTGGTTTAGAAATGTAAAATGTAAATAAATAAAATTAAAATAAACATACTTGTCATTAAAGGTTGTCTTAATATTGATTCAGTTTTCTAATTTAAACAAGATTTGAAGTAGTTTGCAAATTCTGTTCATACCCCACAGCGTAAATACCAGAGGATAGAAAATAATGCTTCTATTTCAAATCAAATAGATATCTTCTTTACCTGTTTCATCATCACTGTAGGTGGATAGTAGCTTCCATATAAGGTAGGGACCGCCTAAAACCACGGCAAAAAATAGGAAAATGGGCCAGGATTTTGCAGAGTTAGCTGCCTTATCTTCTGGACCAATGCAGGCGACAGTTCCTTTGCTTTCCGCCCATAAATCATCATTCTCTGAGCTCCTTCTCATACCCAGTAACCTCTGCAGCCATCTGTAGAAATACCTTATAGTTCTGACTAATGCAAAGGCTGAAAATACCTTGGTAAAATGTATTTTGAGCCTGGAAAAGTGATTGGCAACATCCAGTACAGCTCGGAAACTATTGTAGACAGCCGAAAATGTAGCATCCATCATCATGCTGACAGAGGCAAAGGCATGGACTATGCTTTCAATGGACTGAAATGCACCCCGGCTGCTTTCCTCAGCTTGTTGAACAAATCGACTAGTAGGAATATCATCCATTCGAAAACGACTGTAGCCCAAGCCACCATATCCGTAATTATATGGGCTGTAACTTCCATAAAAAGAATTCCCATATGTGCCATAGCCTGCAGAAAAAGAGCTACCATATGCAGGCCTGAAGGTATTAAGACCAGTGCTCCCAGTCTGTTGTGAAGGCCTTGGCAGAATAGGAGGCGGAATTCGAGTGAGTGTGGGCTGTCCAGGTCTAGTCACTTGACTGACTCCTACATCAGCAGATCTAAAATTCAGAAGTCTTCTGTTAATATATAGGATAATTCTTAAAAGTAAACATAATTCATATGCACTCTGTGTATGTTTATAAATTCATGCTAACTATGCCTTTATACCATTTTTAATTGCTCCTACCCAGGGCAGTGGATTTAAAATTCTTTTTACAAAGATTTCCAGATGCACTCAATATAAACATTGTTGAATTTAAATTCAAATATTTAAGCAGTTCTTCTGCAGATGTAAAACAAAAACAAAAAAAGAGGAAATAAAGGGAGGCAGGAGAGGCTATGAAATATAAGCATTGTCATGTCTTGCTTACTTTAGTGTAAGCAGAGACTACTTAACAATTCCAAACAACATGGATATGCATTATTCTCAACCCAACTGCCACCCATATTTTATTACTCCATGCCAAAAGTAGTAGTGTGCAATCTCCACTAGCACAGGCAGTGCCATGTATTGTGACTATTGTACCTCATTTGAAGTAGGCATCTCTGCTCCAATTGGCAAATATATACTGTGGCAGATTCCCCTCTGCTCTGGTTAACAGCCACATGTCCTTGTGCTTTAAACTGGTCGATGGGGCTTTTCTTTTGTAACTGACTCCACTAGTGAAACAGTGAATTTTCCTTTTTGTTCTTCATCAGTTCTTTTTAATCAGTATACTAGAGTAGTAGTAAAGTAGTGAACCTTATTTTCCTTTTAAATTGGGATGGTGATGATGGCTAGTACAGGGAAAAGGAAGGTTGTAAGAATAAGAAAGGGTCGGGGGATGGAAAATCATAGGTGTCTGTATGAATGAATGTGTTCTTATGGGCAAGTACCGTATATGCCGGCGTATTAGGCGACCCGGCGTATAAGATGACCCCCGTCTTTATCGCCCAGTCGCCTTCCTAGAATGTCGTCTTATACGCCGGAAACTACCAGTATTTCCAGCGTATAAGACGACTCGGTGTATAAGACGACCCCCGTCTTTGGCGCTGAGTTTAGCGTTTCCGGAAGTCGTCTTATACGCCGGCATATACGGTACAGCAAAGAAACAAGAATATGTGATTACAAATCTGCAACAGTTTATTACTTTACAGAACAGTCATTAGACAAGATGCTTTCTACTTTATGGAGAAAATATAATAATAATAATAATAATAATAATAATAATAATAATAATAGAATATCTTTATTGTCACTGTGTATCTCACAACTAAATTAAGTGCTGTCCACAGTGCACACTACACACAAGTAAAAACCACAAGTAAAAACATACATTACATACACACATCCTTCATATTCTATTCACCATTATGCTGCCCCCAATATTGCACTTCTATGTTGCACTATACAGTATATAATATGGTTACAGCTCTGGGATAAGAACTATTTTTCAGCCTATTTGTCTTTGTTTTTATTATCCTGTACCATCTGCAAGATGGTAATAGTTCAAAAAAAGAATGTCTGGAATGAGATGAGATGAAGGAAAATTGTGTATTTATATGATTTTTATACTGTTACAATATGTGATTCTCTTTTATTTATAGTAAATAAAACATCTACTATATAATAACAATGAAAAATATTCATAATTGTCTTAAAATTGGAGTACAGTAAAGGTTATGGATTGACCAAACTTAGTTATCTCCCGAGTTAAGTCTGGAGAGAAATACAGCTTATGCAGGTATATTATGCAATCTTAATTATGTAGAGAACGTAAGTAGGAAGCAATAAAAACTGCTCTACCACACCTGTTTAATGGAGAAGGGAGAAATAGGAGGAAAGCAAGTATGTCATAATAGGTGTAAACTAGCACACTATGCAACCAACAAGCTGTTGCACTTTAAGTAGGGACAATCCCACTAGAAAAATCATTTTAAATTAATTTTCAGAGCAAAATTTAAAACATCCAGGAGCCAGAAAACTTAACTGCACAAACTTAACCCACCAACTCAGCATTCGTTCAGATATAGACTGACACAATCCAGAGCTGACAAATTCCAAGGTGGAAAAACAGAAAGAAAACAAATATTCACAATGATGCCAGAGCAAAAAAAAAAAAAAAAAAATTCCTTAGAAATAAACCTGATTAAGGGAGCAGAGAAGAAAAAAGAGGAACACCTGACTTTATGGGGAAAAACTATCTTTGTCTTGACTTAGAGTACGGAGGACAATTTGTGTGAAATACAACTACAGTAATGAATTTTGAGGGGGGGGGGAATCCTTCAGTCTGCTTCCACTCATCCTCACGTGGAAGACGGAGTAACAGCTGTCCTTTTGCACCCTCATCTAATCAACAACCGAGTGCATCTGGAAGAGTGGCGGGGACGGAAGTTTAAAGATCAAAGTGGGTGTCCGAAATTTATTTTTTTCAACGATCAACACAATCCGTAGCTTTGAACAAAAGCACCTAAGCATGCGCAGAGTACCTTCCCTGCTCCACTTAAAAAAAACCCGCCACCCCCCCTCCTTTCCGTGGAAGGTCCCGTTTAAGTAGTAATAATTAAGCTCTGAAGTGGAACAGCTATTTCTTCTTCTATGCTCCTTACTCGCCCGCCTTGCACCCGCAGCCACCACCAAACTTACAGCCGCCGGTTCTCCCACGGCTTGGGAGGAGGCGGTTGATTGGCCGCCATCACCGTGCAAGGAGACCCTCGCTCGAGCGCTGTTCCTGCTTCTTTGGAGAGAGCCGAGCTATCGAACTTACGCCAGAACCGCGCCGGCTTCATCAGCTCGCGCGACCAAAGCGTCGATCGACTATTTCCGGCTGTGATACGTGCTTCCTATTTATTCAAGTCAAAGAGAAGCGTGAGAAGGAAACCAAGCAGCGCTTCCGCAAATATGCCTCTATGTTTTTTTTTGTTTTTTTTTATTGAAAATTTTTATAAATTTTTACAAAAAAACAAAAGAATAACAATACAACAAAAACATAGACAAGAAACTAAACAAAACAAAACAATCCTTTCCCTACCCCCCCCCCAAAACCCCCACTCCCTCCCCCCCCCGGAGCTTCCCAGAGCAGAATATAGGCTTAATTAAAAAAAATAAAAAAGTTATATGAAAAAAGAAAATATAACTAAGATACATATATGTATATAAAAATAAAAGTTATAAAAAAGCTAAGTAATATTTTTTTATATCCAATTTAAATTGTATAAACTTTATCCATTTATCCCAAACAGCAAAAAATTTCTCTTGCGATTGTTCTTTTAAAAAAGCCGAAATCTTTGCCATTTCCGCCAAATAAGACACTTTAAGAAACCATTCCTGCAAAGTAGGCAAAGATTCCTTTTTCCAGTATTGTCCTACTAACAGCCTTGCGGCTGTAATCAAGTTTAACATCAATATAACCTCCTTTGTGTCACAATCAGTAACTATACCTAACAAAAATAATTGTGGAGTAAATTTTACCCTCCTTCTAAAAATTCTTTGAATATTCCACCATATCTTAATCCAAAAGGCTTTTATATTTCTACACGACCACCAAATGTGATAGTAGGTGGCATCCAAACAACCACATCTCCAACATTTAGGCTGTAGGTCAGGGTACATAAAAGACATTTTTTGTGGGTCAAGGTGCCATCTATAAAACATTTTATAAAAATTCTCCCTTAAATTCTGTGCTTGTGTAAATTTAACATTTCTCACCCAAATGGTTTCCCAGGTATCCAGTAGGACTGGTTCACCAAAATTTTGCGCCCATCTGATCATACAGTCTTTAATTAATTCTGTTTCTGAATCCAATTCCACTAGAACCCCATAAATTCTCTTAATATGAGTTAGTCTTTGGTCCTTCACTTGCTTAATAAAATTTTCATCTTCTCTGAGAAAACCCACCTTACGATCCATCTTCCATCTATCTACTAATTGCCTATATTGAAACCAAGTATAAGTAATGTTTTCATGTACTAACTCTTCCAATAGTTTTAACTGCCAATTTTGTCCATCCCATCTAAGTAACTGTGTATAAGACACCATGTCCATTTTAACCCCTCTTTTTATTCCTTCTATCGCATGCCAAGGTATAGCCCATAGTGGTACTTTAGAATCACTTTTATAATATTTTCTCCAAACCCTAAGTAAAGAAACTCTTATGATATGAGATTTAAAAGCCCGATCCACTTTTTTATTAAATATTAAATAGATATGCCTCTATGTTTTAATTGCACCATTGCCTTAAATTTTCTAATTTATTTGAAAACGACATTAAGACAATATTTTTATTCCGTTGATTCATGAAATTATCAAGTAGGGCTATCTTTAAAATGAGTTTACGTGACCATCTTAGGGCTAATAAGGACACGTTTAATTTTACTTTTTTAACCTTCCACTCGGTCACTTTATATATTTTAGTTCTGAAACAGCATTGAAAATATTGTGCAACACTCGAATAAAACGGCTAGCATTAACACTTGTTCTCCGTTTGAACTATTTTCTTCCTATTAAGTGAGTTTAAAAACTCAATCACATCTTTCTTTGCTTGGAAAAGTTTTTTTTTTACATTGTACATAATTAATCTGATCATTAAGTCTTTAATATAAATTCAGAGTTATATTTCAAGGAAACATTTTCTTTCAACAATTCAAGAAATGTCCTTTCTTTTGTTATTTGTTCTTTCCTCTAGCCACCCTTTTCTTTAATCTCGGTATGCTATCACCATCATTCATCAAACCGTTGGACATTCAAAGAAACAGTAACGATCTTGCACAGTTGCGCTCCGGAACAATTATTTCCGAGAAAGCGTTTCCTTCCCATCCGGAAGTGAGGAACAGCCATTGACAGGGACGTGGGGCGTGGCAGGTAAATAGTTCCCCCTATTCCTCCTATTGACATAGGCGAAAAGGTAGGCGATCGTTGGGCGTTATGTTCGTTTGTTTTGTTTGTTTGTTTTAGCAGAGTAGAAAGGTTATGTAGACTACTTTGATTCCTTGATTTCTTGTAGCAAGATAAAGGGAGAGAGTCAACAATACTTTGCCAATGCTTATTCGGAGTTTCTGTGGGATTTGCGTGCTCGCTAATATATGCTAGCAGCGCAGACTACACAGTATACGATCCAGTATCCCGGTTGAATTGCTATTAATATACAACGCCCAATGTAATTTATGCGACCACTATCCCGACCGCTCTAGGGGAGGATGCGAGTTAGACAGATTTTCTTTTCCTGTAGGGCAGCATCAGAGATCCTGAAGATTTTAATCTAGCCACATTATAAACACAATTACTGCTCCAAAAGATTCTCAGCTCTTTCTTTATAGCATATTGAAATCCATTCAACGTGAGGGGCCTATTATCTGGCACTATATTGTCAGTTACTTTATATTGTCTATCTGTATGGTTTTCTTGGAAAAATAGAGGCAAGGTTTATCATTCCCAATAAAAGAAAATATGGATTTCTTAGTGGTCCTTGTGTTTGATTGTTTGCTTGCAAAACAGTTGTAAATCAAACATTGAGCAACACTCAAGTGGGAAGAGAAGAATATATTTTATTCATTTAAATCCTGCTTTTATAATCTGACAAATAGACTGAAATTTGGAATCTATGTGAGTATATACTACTCTAAATCCATCTACAGTATTTTCATTTTCACTGTTAACTACTAGAGATTCAATAGATTAGACTATAAAGTCTCAAAAATGGAAAGTTAGGAACATACATTTGTGTTTTTTAAAAGATCTCAAAATGTCAAAACATGGAATAAAACATACTTCCAAAGATAATTGTACAGGACTGAGATAAATGCATTTGTCTTTTAACCTTTATTTTAAGATAAATCATAGCATAATTCTGAAGCTAAAGTCCTTATCACTCTTGATAATTTAATAAAGATTTTCTCGAGAAAAAATGTTTAGGACTGCATGGATATTCCATAACTAGAATTTTGCTTCTAGCACATAATTGATGGCTGGGTTAAAAATAGATTGTTGACTGGGTAAGAGCTGAGCTGTACGTGCACACCTACTGTCTCATCCCTTTAATGCAGACTTTTTCACTTGTGCATCTTCCAGTTATAACTTGCATTACTTCCTAAAACTGTATGAAATGTAAAAAGTGTGAAATGGGAAAACTAAACAAAGTGAAAGATGAAACGAAGTGACTACACATTGACATCTTCGACATCAGCAAATTGAAATGAGAGAAGAGAAATAAAAAGCAAGATCCAAATTCTCACTTGAGGGAGGAATGACTGAGCTCAAATTACCTGTGGTTAAGATGCAGGTCCAGAAACCAGGAGATTAAGTTATAGGCTTCCCTTAGGCATGAAAACTTGCTGGGTGACTTTGGCCAGTGACTCTCAACCCAATTCACTTCATAGGGTTGTTGTGGAGAAAATAGGAATATTTGATTTAGATTAATTAGCTGTCTTGAATTATATATAAAAAGATGGGATAAAAATCTAATAATAACAGTAATATAATTATTTGGATACTTTGTGCAAAAGGTATCTCTATAGAAATCTATAACATTGAGAAAGATGAAAAGAAATAGAAGAGGACAATCAGCAGCAGGGCCATTGGATTAGATTACAGTTTTGATGAGTACACCATTAGAAGACCTGAAGAGCCACCTTGAGGATAGATCAGCGGTTCTCAACGTATGGGTCGCGACCCCATTTGGGGTCGAACGACCATTTTACGGGGGTCGCCAAACAACGCGATCCGCCATTTTCCCCCCTCAGGGGGCACCGCCGCGCATGCGTGCCACGCATGGGGTGCGCCGCCGCGCATGGGGGCACTGCTGCGCATGCGCGGCACATCCATGTGACCGGGGGTCGCTGTATAAAAAGGTTGAGAACCGCTGGGATAGATCATCCTGGAAAATGTCTTTTTAGTGGTTGTTATGCGTAACTAACATAATTGTTAGTCCCGTATCTTCTCTCTTAATTTGTCCTTTCTAAATGATTGTTATCATGAATTTTTTTCTTAGGAACAAAGGAAGCTTCCATTTATTGTCAGACCTTTACTCAATTGACCTTAATATTGTCTGTGCTGACAATGGGGGAAAGGAGGAACTGCATGTAGCACATGTACGCTATTAGTGAACTATGGTCCTTCCTTGATCCTCTCCCCATTGTGGCTATTGTAGTGATTTTGTAAATAACTTTTCCCCCAAATTCAGGCTTCGTCAAGATGGTTGTACTGGCAGAAAAAGACAGACCTGTTGCTCAGATGTTACTGAATTCTGGAACATGTCCCCGCTGTATTTTCAGATTCTGTGGTGTAGGATTGCAGACTTCCTACAGGGAACCTCATAAGGTTTGATTAAATTAGAATATATAATACTGATGAGAGTTATTTTAATGAAGAGTTCAGTCTTAGTGACACCTCTTTTCATAGCATCTTTCCTGAGGGCTGGAAAGAGATTTGGAGTGAACAGGATCCAAAAAGATGCAAGCAGTACTATTTATTACTTGGTGTTAGGAATCCTGAATGGGGGAAGGAGATGAGAATTAATGCTAAAAAAAGTCTAGGAAATGATCAAGCACAACATCATGAAGCCAATAAATCTATAAACTGAAAGTGATTAAAAGTCAGTAGTGTTCCATTTATGACTGACTCTTAGGAGTCCAGGTCTGTGTAGGAATTTGGCTATTAAGCTATTTAGTCTCTGATTGTTCCATTTGTTAATTTGCTTTTCTCTTCTAAATATCAATGATATTTTCTATCATCTGCTGGCCTCAGACTTGTTTTTCAATCCTCTGCTCTTGGAAAACTTTTTTTGTTGTGATTGTTTCAGGCACTGCCTAAAAATTATGCCATTGTTAGCTTCTTCTTCCAACAGTTTCAGTCTTATTCTGTTCAGCATTTCAGACCTTTTATCCAGCAAATGTGAAGGGAGAGCTGGAATATGTAGCTGCTTTATGCTGATTTAGATCATTGGTCTGTCAAATATAATACCATTTTCTTTGACTGTCAGATTTTTTATCTCAGACCTAGTTCTTTCCTCAAAATACTTTTGGAGAATTTCCTAAGAATAGATAAATCTTATTAAAGATTCTGTAAGAATCTGCATTATCCGACTGAGCTATGGCCTACTTAAGATCTTCCAGCCTGTTTTTTTCTCACCTCTCTTTTATTGTCACTTGCCCAAAAGTGTAAGCCAAGTGATATTCTTTAATGGAGAACTCATCCTTCTCAGTGTTGGAGTTATGATTCTCAGCCTAATCCTATGCAAGTTTACTCAAAGCTAAAACTCACTGGTTTTAAATTTACTTTACAAGATCACTGACTACCTGACATTAGTTCATTAAAAACTCCTGTGTAGATAAACAGAACCTGTAGCTTTCAGTTTGAGACTTCCCTTTAATTATAACTTGGTGCTGTTATCCCTTGTTGAACACACAAGTGGCACTCTTCTAAAGAAAACCATATTGACAAGAGTTCTATTTTTGTTTTGTTTTTTTAATCAGGATTTATTTCATGAACTATGCAAGTTTCTGGAGAGCAAAGAAGATGAAAATATATTATCTTGTGAAATGGCTAATCCCCCATGTAAAAAGATTAAACTGGAAAATGCTAATGGAATTAAAGATCAAAACCCAAATGGAAGCCATGAGCTAAACAATATGAACGATGACGGAAGTGATGCTCCAGCAATTGAAAACTTAAATCCAGTTGTGTGCAATATATGTTTGGGGATTCTACAGGATCTTTGTGAAATAGATTTTGTCAAAGCTGTAAGTGTCAGCTTTATTTTCAGCTTTTCAAAGGATAAAACCAAATGTAACATACAATATTGTTGTAAACATAGCTGATATTCATATAGGATTTCAATGAACATTTTGTTGCTGCAAATCTAGTCAGACCTATCTGAGAGTAAATATCATTGCTCCCAAACAAGTGCACAAAACATTAGACAGGAATTAGTTATACTGTAGTTACAGTATCTTAGATAACTCTACGCAAAAAACCCATTGAGCAAAATTTAGAACACAGTTGTAGCCTTTGATTTTTCTTGATCTAAGTTATTCTTCCAGGTACTTCCTTCTTCTTGACTTAGGTAGGGTCTTGTGTTGGTAAATACTTACCTGAGCTGGTAAGCACCAGGAAGCACAGAGTTCGTTGGGTAAAGTATTCTTCCAGAATGGCAGTTTTGTAGATTATGACTGATGTGGCTCCTAGTTTATAGGCTCAGATTCAGTGTCTGGGTCACCATTTAATAGCTCCTAGAACAGGGGTGTCAAACTCACCACATCACGTGGCGTGTCATGATCTATCGCAACTTTTTCCCCATTGCCACAGCTGGGGTGGGCACAGTTTTGGCATGACGCATCCGGACCGTACACCTCCAGCTGAAGGTGCAAACTTTAGGACTGCTAAACAAACGTGCATTCTCTAAAGCAACCATGCATCTAAGTTGATGTTTTTTCCCATTGTTTTTTGTCTTGCACTAAACAATATTTTGTGAGCATAATATTTTTAGTTCTCCTGCCAGGTTTAGTTAATCTCTTCAACCTCTGAATGGGTTGTGGTGAGATATTTCTAGAGCAATGTTTTTGTCCTAGTGCTAAAGCCAAACTGGTGAGAAGCAATTAGACATTAGGTACTGAAAGAATCTACTGAAAGAATCAACATGTTTATTCTAAGTTAAAAATACTATCTTTGCAAACAAAATTATTTTGTAAATAATATTACTCAAACAGTTTTCTAGATTGCCTTGTATGAAGTAATTTGTTCTGGAGGGATATGGATTGAAATATGGTAGGTAAATATTTTAAATAAATCTATGTTTTTCAGGTATGCCACAAGATTAATTCCTCTGAATATCAGTTTTCCAGTTTTGTGTTTTCAGTGTCATTCCCACCACAACTTTCAGTCAGAGAGGTTGGTAATTTGTAGATATTTTTATTTATGCTTCAAATTTGCCTTCAGTGAGAAAGAAAGGATATTCTTATACATTGCTTTCTATGCTGGGAAATTTGCTTTGTTAGGGTAGATATTGAACAACATGGGATTGGCAGTAGTTAGCCAAGATGGTAGATCGATGGTGGAGCAAAGTGGGAACTCATTGCTGGCTGTTTTGGTTAGGTTGATTTGAAATTTAGCATTTCACTTGGAGATTGTAGAAGTACTTTGGCTAAAGGTCACCCTATGTATCAGACAGACCTTAATGTTTATGAAAAGTAGAGGAAATGTGGTCAGAATATTTTCAGTCAGATACTGAGAATTTTTTTTTATCGATGCTCTTTCTTTCTCATTTTCCACCTCTTTTGTTTCCCTACTTTGTCTTATGTCTAAAGCATGCAGCATGGCTGCTGGTGAAAGAAGAAATGGGGTGAGTAAATTCTACAGACAATCTAAGGACCAAGATATGATTTAATTACGATTGAAGCAGCAGTGACCTTGATTAAGTCATGTATCATCTGATTGCTGGGCACATGATTTTAAATAGTAGTATACTTAAGTGGTCAAAACTATGACCAGTTCTGGATATTCCATCATGAGTCAGTCTGTTTCTACTATCACTGTGACAAGTGTGACAGATGTTGCCAGTCCTTTAGATCACGGGTGTCAAACTCGATCGCATCACATGATGCACCGTGACGTATCATGACATTTTTTGCCTTTGCGGAGCTGGGATGGGCGTGGCCTGTGTGTGACGCATCTGGCCTGCAGGCCATCAGTTTGACACTTTAGTTGATAAAGCATCAGGCTATGTAGCAGGACACTGTGAATTCTAGTCCGACGTTAGTCATGAAAGCCAGTTGAGTGAGCCAGTCACTAACTCTTAGCCCAACTCATCTTCCAGGATTGTTGTGGCGAATATAGGAGGAAGGTGTGTTGAATATTTACGATATTTGTAAAAATAATGTGGGATAAACAAACAAACAAACAAAATTACATGAGAACTTGTTGAGATGGTAAAAATATGGGTCAGTTTATTTTTTATCCCAATTGCACATACAGTACTTCAGAAAACACTGTCTTTTTTACAATTTAGGAAACAGGGCCTATCAATTGGAAAAAATGACTTTGTTCAGCTGAAAGAAGCTTACAAATGGCTTATTCATCCCCTGTTCTTGGAGGAGTTGGGAGTCCCTGCTGATGGAAAGGTAGCATATATATAAACCATTTACTTTGCTTTTGCAGCGCTAGCTCACTATTAGGTGATGCAACATGTATCTTGGCTGGGCTAGTTTCAGACTGCAGATGGGCCTTCATGTAGTTGAATGCCTTCTCCAAATATAAGTAGCATGTTAAGGGCAAAAAGAGGACAGAATCTTTTCTCCTGATGGGACAATATTCCTGGTGCAGAGTAAATTTTGTATTAGCCTTTGCCTGCAATTTTTTTTTAAAAAAAATCATTGGTTTAACTCAGAGTTCCCCGTTTTTGGCTTTGCAGATCGGCGGGAGGGGAAGGGGATGATTCACACAAGCAGCCAGCAAGCGCATGCACACACAGCTCCATTTGCACAAGTGGCATAAACATCTGCCTCCCTGTCACGCAAATGAAGCACCTGCATACGTGCTCTCCCGCTGCTTGTGCAAGTGAGAATGCGCACGAGCGCATGTGTGTTTGCTGCAGTTTCCACGGCCCAGTTGTAAATTGCTCATGGCCAACAGTTGTGGACCCCTGGTTTAACTTATGGAAGAAAGATGTAAGGGGAAAAAAGAAATATAAAAAAATCGACTACAAGGAAAACATGAAGATAACTTCTTATATATAAGAAACTGCAACTTGGTTTTTAAGTGCAATATTAAGCCACCATCACAGAAAATAATTTTGGTCAGTATAGATCTAGTTTATAAGCAAAGAGCAAAGGCATACAGTCATTTCTAGACTTTAAAGCCAGAAGTGCATTGTCTTTTACTTAAAAAAAGTCATTTTCTCTGTATGCTACACTAAGTAAGTCTTTATATGTTGATAAATTTCTAGTCTGGGAATATAATTCAAAGCTGCAGTCACATCTTTAAACAATGCTACCCTTCCTTAACAAATGTACAAATATAAAACCAAAGTGGAACAACAGTGGGACAAGCCCATATTATATATACATTACCTCCATAATTTTGCACTTCTAATACTATGAAGCTGAAAATCACCACTTTGTGTTGATTGAATTTTATTTGTTCATTAACATATTGAATATTTTTGATATCAACTGTTGATTTGTTAGTTTAGAATATTTCACACCTTTGTTCCAAAGTTCAGGCAAATAATTAATTTTCATTTCAGTAATACTTAGGTGTTTGTAAAAGAAATTTGTTTTGAAGTGTTACAATTTAGTGTAACTAGATGACCTCATTAGAGATTATTCTTTTCTATGTATCTTTTGTCCCATTATGCAACAAACAGGAAGAGAACCTTTGATATTATATTGTGGAATACTCATTCATAAAATTTGTGCTAATGTTGCATTTATTTTGGTACCAGTTAAAATTTCATTTCTCTCTGCATTTTAAATTGTTCAGCCTACCATACTCGTATTGCCTTTTCATATTGTTTTGTTGCATTTTCTGGTTGTAAAACTATTTTTTTAATAAAGAAGAGTTGATAAATAACCCAATAAAGAATAACTTTAGTATTAACCCAGAGTATAGTTGCTTCTCTTTTTATAATGGTAGGAGGGAGCAATGGAGATGATAATTAAAGAACTGAAAGGCTTAAGTGGGCACTTAAACCCAAACATGACTTTTTTCATAGAGAGTAAGATAATTTGGGTTTGTCAGAATCAGGAACTATGATTAAAACTGGGAACCAATTCAAATTATTAAGCCAACTGTAGACCATGGCTTCATACTCTGGCTGGTATTTTATGGTTTATTGGTACATGTAAAATCATTTTGATTTTCTTTTGTAATAGGGATGAAGTAGAAGCATTCATAAGCACTGAAGATATCCAGTGCTTATTGCAGGAAATTCTGATGCATCCGAGAAATATGTTTGTCTCTTAATGCCAATATGAATAATACAACTGATCTGTTTTTTAACATCTGCAGTTGTATGTCTAAAGGCCTTGTGTGGATCACTGCCTCCTGTATATGCTTTAAGGACTTGAATGTGTTACTCACATTTTGTATTAGTCACATCAAATCTCTTCCTGATGATAGGCTTCAGATGATTGGATAGACTGAATTCAAGCTATTGAAAAAAAAGTGTAATGTGGAGGAAATCAAATTGCCAGTAGCAATTAAAAATTAACTTCTATCTTTGTGATTCAGAGCCTGTTTGAAGTGCGTGTTGTATTTGCTCATCTAGAGACAGATGAAGATTGCTGTTTTCTGTAAGTAATAATATAAGAAACAATGTTTTATGAGAGCAGAGACAGATGGGTGAACATTCTAGGTCTCCCTCCAATATCTGAGATACCTCGAGCAAGCTGCTCTTTGAAATAACTAATAGACAAGCTGTTTTCCCTGATAGGGCTGCTGCTGAGGGCTAGGTGCTCTACATAATGTTACCATGATTGGGTTGCATTCCTTAGAATAAAAACAGAGTAGTGGCACTCAGATATCACCACTCACTCTGTTTCCAATAACATGCTCCTTCTTGCCCATAATTCTGGTACCAGGAGGACCGTTAAAGTGGAGTGGACAGGATAAGAATGTAACTCTACTCACTCATGCTATTGGAACTATTCTATCCTTCACCTGCTAAATGTCTTCACTCTGGGGAGTGAAGTGGGAAGAACAGTTTTTTCTTGTCAAGAATGAAATGCAAGGGCCTGAACTGGGATTTAAGCAGTTCCAATTGAGTTGATTGTCTCAAGCTTGTACTTTGTTTGAATATAGCCCTTTGATCTCCTGTCAATAGAAGAGATCAGAATCTTCTGCCCTTCAGCCTTTTAATCCCTGGGCAAATGTCAGCAGGAGCTCAATAACACAAAACTCCACAGATTGGCGTTAATTTTGCTGTCATATTCTGCCAGAGAAGCAGAGCCTTCCATTAGTTCCATGGCCAAAGAAAGGGGCCTTGGAGCCTTAGGAGCCCAAGGAGCAAGAGTTGCCTGATTAGATAGAGATTGAAAAGGTGTTTTAAAAATATCTATCTCCTTGGCGATTGTTCTTAATAAAATGGTTTGACACAGGCAAGTTTAAAATATTATATTATTGTATTCATTATTTATTTGGTAGAAAATGTAATCATCTTTTTAAAGATATTTGATTGATTTTTGTTGTTTTCATCCAGAGCTTCAGTGTGTCCAAACTGCTTCAAACCAGCCAAAAATAAACAGGTAATTAACTTTAATTTTATACAGTTACCAATACTTGTGCTCCAAATACCTGTATCTCATAATAGGCACTCTGGTACTTTCTAAATATTTTGACCTTGCTGACTGAAGTTTCATGAGATCCCATTCAAAACATCTGGAGAATGCAGAGTACTTACCGCGGGCTTAGACTTTTTAATACATGTATCTTTAAAAACAGGCAATTGCTAGTTGCAGATTCCTTAGTTGCCATAGTATATTTATTCTTGTCTTTTATCATTATTTGGGTTATATAGTTTTTAATTATTTTAACTGCCCAGAATTTGCAAAATGGGCAGTCATATGATGTAAATAAATAAGAATATTTTATGTATGAATCACGTTAACTCCAATATAAAATAGGAGAGGAAGTTTGGTGTAGTGGTTAAGACATCAGGCTAGAACAGTGGTTCTCAACTTTCCTAATGCCGCGACCCTTTAATACAGTTCCTCATGTTGTGGTGACCCCCCAACTATAAAATTATTTTCGTTGCTACTTCATAACTGTAATTTTGCTATTGTTATGAATCATAATGTAAATAGCTGATATGCAGGGTGTATTTTCATTGTTACAAATTGAACATAATTAAAGCATAGTGATTAATCACAAAAACAATATAGCAATGCTCACTGGAGAAGCTTACTCTTTCTTGCTCAAAAATGTTGGGAGGAAGGGAAAGGGAAGGAAGGAAGGAAGATTGAAGGGGAAAGGAAGGAGATGGAGAAGGAAGGAGATTGAAGGGGAAAGGAAGGAAGGAAGGAGAAAGAGATTGAAGGGGAAGGGATGGAGATGGAAGGAAGGAAGATTGAAGGGGAAAGGAAGGAGATGGAGAAGGAAGGAAGATTGAAGGGGAAAGGAAGGAAATGGAGAAGGAAGGAGGGAAGGAAGGAAGGAAGGAAGGAAGATTGAAGGGGAAAGGAAGGAGATGAGAAGGAAGGAGATTGAAGGGGAAAGGAAGGAAGGAGAGAGAGATTGAAGGGGAAGGGATGGAGATGGAAGGAAGGAAGATTGAAGGGGAAAGGAAGGAGATGGAGAAGGAAGGAGATTGAAGGGGGAAAGGAAGGAAATGGAGAAGGAAGGAAGGAGAGAGAGATTGAAGGGGAAGAGATGGAGAAGGAAGGAAGATTGAAGGGGAAAGGAAGGAGATGGAGAAGGAAGGAGATTGAAGGGGAAAGGAAGGAAGAAAGGAGAGAGATTGAAGGGGAAGGGATGGAGATGGAGATGGAAGGAAGGAAGATTGAAAGGGAAAGGAAGGAGATGGAGAAGGAAGGAAGATTGAAAGGGAAAGGAAGGAGATGGACAAGGAAGGAGATTGAAGGAGGAAGGAAGGAAGGAGAGAGAGATTGAAGGGGGGAGGCGCTGCCAAGGACGCACAAGCAGTTCCGCACAATTGCCTGGGGACGGGGGGGAGGCTCTGGCGGAGAGCCTGGCGGAGAGCCAAGTGGCGGCACATCCATGGCCTCGAAAGCTGCGTGGAGGATCCGTGCGCCTTGGAACTGCCAGCTGCCCTTTCACACCCGCCAACCTGGAGCCCCCATCCTCACCCCGGCACCTCTTGCCGTCTCCCAGCCACTCCCCCAGGACCTGCCTGCCCCTCCAGCCTCCTGAGCGCCATCGCGGTGGTGGGGTCGTGGGAGGCCCTTTCCATGCCGCGCAGCCCATTGCACGCGAGAGGCCCAGAGCCTGGCGAGCCGGGAAGCCCCATGGCCGCATCAGGTGCCAGAGGGCCAAGGCGGCCTTCGACGGTGAAGGAGGCGGGCTGGGCAGCGCGGGGGAGATTCCTGCGCGGTGCAGAGGGCAGCCAGGGGCAGAGCGCGGCTGGGCAACCAGGAGGCATGAAGACTGGCTCGGTGCCTCAGCTCAGCTCAGCCGGCAGTGGCGGCAGCAGTTTTCTCGCCCTTCTCCTTTCCTTCCTCCTGCTGCCCCCAAAGCGGCTCGGGCGGGAGCCGGGAGGAAGAGGGGTGCCTGGGGGGAGCAGCCGGGCTGGCGGAGGGGCTGGCAGGCCACACAGCACCAGCCCCCGCCGCGGCTCCATTGATGGACGGAGGACCAGGCTGGGCAGCGCAGGGACGATGGCAGCAGCGGCCGCTGCTGCATTATTGGGGGTCCCCGCCACCCCCCCGCTGCCCGGCTGGTGCCATGCGGCCCGCCAGCCCCTCCACCAGCCCGGCTGCTCCCCCCCAGGCACCCCTCTTGCCCCGGCGCCTGCCCAAGCCGCCTTGGGGGCAGCAGGAGGAAGAAGGGGAGGAGGAAGAGGATGGCAAGGAAGCCGCTGCCAGAGCTGGGCCCCAGGAGGCGGCTGTCCTCTCCTACCTTTGCTGAATCTCCTTCTTCCTTCCCGGCAGCCTGGACTCCGGCGCGCCTTCCTGGCCAGTGGGTTCAATAGTCGGGCTGGCCCGCTCAGTGGAGCCTCCAGTGGGCTGCTTCCAACAGGGATCCCGGGGCTTCCCCGGGCGGCTCCAAGGCCATGAGGCCCTGGCCATGCTTCTCCCAGGGGGTGGGGCACCCGGACACAGGATCAATCAGAAGCCCTGCAGGAGTTAAGGCTGCCTGAGAGAGAGAGAGAAGGGAAGCGAAAGTCTCTCTCTCTCTCTCTCTCTCTCTCTCTCTCTCTCTTTCTCTCTCTCTGCAAATGGTGGAGGAGGCCATGCAGAGACGGATGCGGAGCAGTGTCTCGGTTCCTAAGACCATCGGAAATATGTGTTTTCCGATGGTCTTAGGAGACCCCTGTGAAACGGTTGTTCGACCCCGAAAAGGGTCGCGACCCACAGGTTGAGAACCGCTGGGCTAGAAACAGAGAGACCATGAGTTCTAGTCCCACCTTGGGCATGAAGCCAGTTGGTGATCTTGGGCCAGTCACTTTCTCTTAATCCTAAGAAAGAGGCAATGGTAAATCATTTCTGAAAAACCTCGGGCTTATTTTGGCAGTCTCCAAGAATCAGAGACAATTGAACAGAGGGAAAAAATAAATAAAAATGAATAAAATACAGGGAGGCACATACTTCCCAGGTAAGATTGGCATCCAAAACAGTCTGAAGTTAGAATTTGTAAAACCTAACTCTCTATTAAAAATGTAAAACATTACTTCTATAATAAAACACCAAGCTTAGAACAAAATAAGGAAGCATCAAACAAAGGGAGTATTACCAGATAAGCCATTGAAAAATGGCTTCCAACTTTGCTAAAATAAATCAAGTAGAAAAAATAAGGTTTGCAGTGTCTGATAACTTGAGTAATATTTTATTTTTCTCTATAGTCAGTCTTCACCAGAATGGCTGTGGTAAAAGCTTTGGATATGATTGATGAAGAAGAGTTTCATAAGTAAGTCACCCCACATTCACACAACAGAAAGATAATCAAGCAGCACGTTGGCAGATACTTAGAAAATAGTGTTTCTACCAGCAGCCAGTATGAGGTTTTTAAGAACGGGAAATGAGGCCAACTGTAATTTTTATGACAGTGATTGTGTGATACAGTAGAGGAAAACTATTGATGTAGTATGCCCTGAAGTCAATGAAGTGTTTCGAAAGGTTTCTCATATTTGCTTTGCAAACAGAATAAACAGATATGTGCTAATTAGTATTGTGGATTGGTAGATTTGCAACTAGTTGGATAGCTGCATCCAAAGGGTATTCTTTTTTTTTTATTAAATTTTTTTTAAGATTTTACAATAAAAACCCCTTCCCCAATCCCTCCCAACCCACCCCAAAACCCTCCCTCATTCTTCCCAGAGCTGAATACAGGCTTAACTAGAACTTAAAAAAAAAAAAAAAAGTTTTAAGCCCAAATAAACCTTAAGCAAATATAATTACACTCAATAAACAAATTATAAGATACTTTAACTCCATTATATATAAAAAACAAAAAGAGGGAAAAAAAAGAAAAAGAAAAAAAAGATAAAAAAATTAAAGAATAATAATTACACTTCTAGATAATATCTTAAACTTTAAATATAAATTATTCAAAAGCTAGATAATATTTTCTTATATCATACTTATATTGTATAAAATTTATCCATCTTTTCCACACCAAGAGATACTTCTCTTGCGATTGATCTTTTAAGAAAGCCGAAATTTTTGCCATTTCCGCTAAGTAAGAAACTTTAAAAAACCATTCTTGCAAAGTAGGCAAAGATTCCTTCTTCCAATATTGCCCTATTAACAACCTAGCTGCAGTAATTAAATTTAACATTAAAATAATCTCTTTGTCATCACAATCCAGAACAATACCCAACAAAAACAATTGTGGAGTAAATTTTATCCTTCTTTTAAAAATTCTTTGAATATTCCACCATATCTTAATCCAAAAAGCTTTTATACTTTTACATGACCACCAGATATGATAATAAGTAGCATCCAAGCAACCACATCTCCAATATTTAGGCTGCAGGTTTGAATACATACGAGACATTTTTTGTGGATCAAGGTGCCATCTATAAAACATTTTATAAAAATTTTCCTGTAAATTTTGGGCTTGCGTGAATTTAACATTCCTCACCCAAATAATCTCCCATGTATTTAATAAGATCGGTTCATCAAAATTTTGTGCCCACTTAACCATACAATCTTTAACTAACTCTGCTTCTGAATCCAATTCCACCAAGACACCATAAATTCTTTTAATATGGGTTCGACTTTGATCTCTAATTTGTTTTAACAAATTCTCATCTTCTCTAAGCAAGCCCACATTATAATCTATCTTCCACCTTTCCAATAGTTGTCTATACTGAAACCATGAATAAATAATATTTTCTTGTGCTAATTCATCCGTAGATTTTAATTGCCAATTTTTACCATCCCACTTAAGTAATTGTGTATAAGAAATAGTATCCATCTTAACTCCTCTCCTTATTCCTTCTGTTGCATGCCGTGGAATAGCCCATAATGGAATTCTTGAATCACTTCTATAATATTTCTTCCAGACCCGAAGTAAAGAAGTTCTTAAAATATGAGATCTAAAAACCCTATCAACCTTTTTATTATAAATTAAATAGGCATGCCATCCAAAAAGTAAATCCCATCCCTCCAGAAGGAGTATATCTACATTTGTTAGGTTAACCCAATCACTGATTAATGTTAAGACCACAGCATCATAATACAATTTCAAATTCAGTACCTTAAGTCCACCTCTCTCTCATATATCTTGTATAATTTTAAGTTTTACTCTTGGTTTTTTCCCTGCCCAGATAAATTTATTGATACCTTTCTGCCACTCATCTAAATTTGCTTCTTTCTTTAAAATAGGTATCATTTGAAATAAAAAAAGAAATTTTGGCAGAACATTAATTTTAATCGCTGCTATTCTCCCCAAGAGGGACAATTGCAGCTTTTTCCAATTGTCTAAATCCTTTTGTATTTTAACCCACAGCATTTCATAATTATTTTTATACAGTTTTGCATTGGAAGCAGATAAAATAACACCCAAATATTTTACCTTATTAACGACCTCAAAGCCTGTCAATCTAACCAAGGTCTCCTTATCCAAGTTGGTCATGTTCTTAGGCAATATTTTAGTCTTATTATTATTAATTTTAAAACCTGAAACTTGTCCGTACTGATTTATCAATGGTAACAACTCCATTACGGAATGAATTGGTTGAGATAAAGTAACAACCAAATCATCTGCAAAAGCCCTTAGTTTATATTCTTTTTTATTAATTTCTATTCCTTTTATTTTCGATGATTCCCGAATTTTAATCAATAAAATTTCCAAAGTTAAAACAAACAGCAATGGGGACAATGGACAACCCTGTCTGGTCCCCTTTTCAATTGAGAATACCTCTGATAAACCTCCATTAACTATAAGTTGTGCCGTTTGTTTTTGATAAATGGCTCGAAGAGCCTGTAAAATTTTATCTCCAAAGTTCATTTCCTCAACCAATCTTAACATAAATTGCCAATTTAATTGATCAAAAGCTTTTTCAGCATCTAAAAATATCAAACCTGCAGAGATTTGGTTGTTCTTATCCAGATATTCTATTAAGTTAATAATTTGTCTAACATTATTTTTCATATACCTTCCAGTTATAAAGCCAGTTTGATCCATATGTATTAGTTGATTCAACACAATCATAAATCTATTCGCTAAAATTTTCGAAAACATCCAAAGGGTATTCTTATGTGGTTCTTCATCATCTAAAAAGAAACAATCAGGTTGGCTTCCCCAAACTCTTTCCTTGAGTCAGCAATATTCAATATCTTTATAAAAGACCTAAAAGATGAAGTGGAAGGAATTATTAATAGATTTACAGATGATCCCAAGTTGTAAAATTATGGAAACTTATCAGAGGATCATGAACAACTAGAAAGAGTGGGCAGCAGTGTTGCAAACTATTTTTATAGTATCTTTATTTCAATATTCAGCCAATATAAAGTTAAAAAAAAAAACCCACACTATGTGATTAAGAATTCTAGCATAAAAAGAGTAGGCCTATAAACAGTCAAGACAGTGATGATATGGGTTAGGCATGAGGACAAAAAATGGTAAATAAAACCAGAACTTGTGCTGTGTTATTTAAAAAAAGAGAAATCATGGCCAAATTGGGCAACAGGAGTCATAAAAGCAATTTAGGCATGTGTCAAGCACAGATTGCTCAAGCTAACATGTAATATCCAGTGGATTTTGCATGCTCTATGTAGAGTTTGGCAATCTTATTCATTTGAGGGGGTTGAATCAGTAGGGCAATGTAAAATTGGTCTCTGGTTGGGTAGACTGTTTAGTAATGGGAGAGTAAATGTATTGTAGATATCTTTGTAAAAATGATTAAGAGAGAAGGATGTGCTCGGTGGTGTTCTGAAAGGCTACAGAAATGCCGGGAAAGCGTGCGTAGTGTGCTTTGGTGATGTGCATCCATTATATGCTGCTGAAGAAGCCTACAAGCTGGCTTGTGTTCCTCTGGTTATGGTAGATGAGCTCAGATTTTCAGTATTGTATTACCAAAGTTATCAATTAATTTTTTGCCTGCTTCTGTTTCTTAGATATAATACTATTTAAAATTATTCACATTATAAAAATGTTTTTGAAATATTTTAAAGAAAGTTTTGCACAATTTATTTATTTTGCACAATGTTTAACTTTTCCTTCGATTTTTATTTAGTGAATCGCTCTTTATATCTCCTCTAATACAGGAACTATCCATCTCCTCCACGTTCACCTAAAACTCCTTGCACAGCTATTGACATTCAATGCAACAATGGTGCCATTTTTGTGGCTGGTGAGAACAAATTTAGTAGAGATTAATAAGGATTACTCCTTTTTTTAAAGATTACTGAGCAATTGTGCCCTCGGCTTAATAAGAAAAGGCTACTCATATGATTATATAAACAGTTTTGTTCTACGGGGAAGTATGATGGTACAGCACAAGTCAGATATTGAGAAAGTGTTAAAAATGATGGTTTTTTTCAGTGACATTCATCTGCATTGAAGAAAATTGATATTAGAATATATAAAATTGACTTCAAATGAGGATTTGTTTTTCAAATCACAGCCTATTCTTGATTAAAATGGGTTATTAGGAAGTGGTATTTATATTTGGCAGTTTTTCTTAGGAAAGGACTATATGTTCTGTTGAAGTCACTGGAAAAGCATCTTGGAAAATAATCTGGGTTCAGAATGATTAGATGAAATACAAATATTGTTTTTCATCAAAGTATTGATACTTTCATCAAGCAGAAAAAAAAAACCTTAACATGTGATATGCTGTATATCACAATAGATCAACCTGCTGAAAGATCTATTTTTGAAGCAAACTTACGCTAGGGCCTTTGCTGCGCAAGGCATGAGGAAAAAGCAGTTTAAGGAGCAATTCTTGAAGGATCTTCTAATACATGCTTTATGACAATGATTTCCTTTCTGTGCACTTGGTTTCTAGTAAAATGCTTTTATTTGTAATACTTTTGCTGAACTAAGAGTTAATAAATATTGTAGCACATTTTTTCTGTTCTCTGTTTCTTTTTGAAACAGGAAGATACAATAAATACTCAAGAACTCTACCTCAGACGCCCTGGATTATAGATGGAGAGAGGAAGATGGAATCATCTGTAGAAGAATTGATCTTGGAACATCTCATGGCTGCCTTCAAAGCAGATAGTGAGTGTTTGCACACATACATTTATTTACGTTGCTTAAAATAAGCTGTGTACACACTGATGAAAAAAATGCAGAAAAATTGTGCAAGCAAGTAACCCAGCACCTGTTTAATGTAGAGCTAAACTGATTTGTCTAGGTCATGTTGAATTGCTTGGTTTGCATATGGATTTTTAGCTCATGTTCTACTTCTGACAACTGCATCCCTCTCATATTAGTGCCTCAGCAAATTTGGTTAATGTTTCTTTCTCTTGTTTTTAAGGTTTTAATTTTTCATCCTCTGGAAGGGAAGATGTGGATGTGAGAACATTAGGCAGTGGTAAGTTCAACACTTGAAAATACCCTAAATAGGAGATATCAGTTGATGATCCCTTGATCAAAAAAAAAAAAAAAGCCATTTCTGAGATCATGGGAGTTGGAAGGGACCACTTAGGCCATGGAGCCCACCCCACCGTTCAGTGTAGAAGTGATTAACAAAATCAGTATTTTTCATTGAAACTGCAGCTTGGAAGTTCTGTCCAGAAATTAGAAGTTAACATTTTGAAGGGTTTTGTTAATATTTACATTTCTGAATACAAAGAATCTGCTATATTTTCTTGCATTTCCTATTCCTGTTGAAAAATGGAATTGACTGCAATCATGTGGATAGCATTTCTAAAGAAATTTCATTATGAGAAAACTTATGACTTAAGAACATTTAGGTATAAAAGATCTTCATTTAAATGTTATTTAAAAATAAAGGTGATGTAATTGAACAACAACAAAAACTATGAAAATTTTACTGTGAAATGACTTACTCAAAGTTAACAGATAAATTAACAAAATTTGCCAAACATGTTTTGTGGTCCTGTAGCCACATAATTATTTTTGTCTTGTTTGTCCAGAGCACATTGTTCCAGAAGTCCTGGTCTTTGCCTAGGTGTTTATAAGCAAACTTTTGTCTTGCCCTGACATTTTTTTTTTTCTGGACAGCAAAAACTTTCTCTTGGCACACCTCTCATGTAGTTTTAATTTGTGCAATTTCTTTCTAATGGAAATCTCATGCACTTTGACATTGATTGTAGCAAGAGGTACCTGAAGCTCCTGTGAGGAAATCCTAGGAGTCTGCTGTAGGATTGAATTTACAGGGCGGCCTGGCCTGGGCAAGTAGGCAGCTGTTTGAAATATTTTCCACTTGTAGATGATCTTCTGGACAGTGGAATTATTGATGTCCATTTGGTTAGTGATCCTTTGAAATCCCTTCCCAGCCATTAGGCATCTATAATTAAGTAAAGAGTAAATTAAATTAACATCTGAGGTTTAAGTAAAACTAGTTCCTTTCGTGTTCTCTATAATTTGCAACTGATTTTAATTTTCGGTATTTGAGGTAAGTATATACTAAGTTTTTCCCTTTGTGAACTTACATCTTGATATAATTTTATATAGTTTGTTTAAAATGGACTTTTTTCAATTGTCAATTTCCTTTTTTCCCCATGTCTAAATCTGAAAACTAGTTTATAATTTTATATTTGTTTTCTTTTCACCCTCCTTTCTTGATTGCCACTATCATGATTACAACATTGTTCATAGGAAGACCCTTTGCAGTTGAGCTAGTTAATCCTCGAAAAGTCCAGTTGGCTGCAGTAGAAATGAAGGCGCTTCAACAGGTATAATATTTGAAAGTTGATCTGTAACCATTGTCATGTAGATTGGCATGAAGGGAGGCAACCAGAGATTTCCTTGCAAAAGGTTGAATTTACCTATAAAGCTAAATTGCTTGGGGACTAATATGATCTTCTCCACTTGGAGGGTATTAAACAGTGGGCAGATGAAAAATCGGCCCTAAGATCCATGGAGAAGAGAAAACTATCATAGCAATTTTATACATCGTCAGCTTAATGACGATGTATATATCCTGCCCTAGCATTTAAGTTATATATACACACTGCTGATTTCATAATTCATATGGCAAGAATTAATTGATGAAATTCAGGAATATACATGGTACTCCTTGTTTAGCTGTAAGGGTATAGTGTTTTAACTACCCATTTTTTTAAAAAAAATGTTTTTACTATCAGATTTCAATTGCAAAATAATCACATATTTTTTATTTTTAAAAAACACTTTTAGAGGATCAACAGTTCTTCAGACAAAGTCCAAGTTCGTGATTTACAGCTTGTCAACAGGTTAGTTGACCTTGTTAGATAAAACTTTTTAAAACAGGACTTTTTTTAAAAAAAAAATCTCAACCTGAGTCTCTTTTTTTAGCATATTTCCATGGAAAGTGGAATCACCTCATTTTTCCTGGCACTGACATAATCTGGAAAATTTACTGAAATCAGCAGAAGAGGCTCCTTTAAAGGAGTCGATCGATCTGTGAAATGGGAGGGGCTTCTGTCCTGAGGTTTCCAGGCAGTGGAATGTGTTTTCTGAGGTAGTACATTGGATACACACTCCTCAGTGGGGAGCAGGAAAATTGTAGAAATACATCTTTTTCCAAACTTTTAATGGCTAAACTGATTTTAGTTTTGATTCTGCTATTTTGACTAATTGAGTTTTGTTTTCTTCTTATTAACTGCCTTCCGTGCTTATATATGAATAATGATTATAAATTTAATAATAAGAAGAAAAGAATAATAAAGCTATAACACAAGATCATAAAAAGGTCTAAAATGTATTTGATCACAAGCATGAGTTGGGAGATTTGCTTCTCTTTTTCAGTTGATCAGCATATTTTATTGATTTATTGATCAAGTAACTTGTCTCAAAGGTCCTAATATTACAGATTGCAGATTTTTGGGAATCCTCTGCAACTGCAGATTTTCTACTTTTGACATCAGGGATATGTGGCAGGGTGGAGGAGGAGATGTTTTTGCCATCTAATATCTGATGAGATATCTTCTGCCCATCAGAAGTTTGTGGCTGTTCTAATTTGTTTCTTTTTATTTCAGAGAGGCCATTGTACATATGAAAGAAGGGGAAGAAGAGAAGACCAAGTCCTACAGTGCCTTAATATGGACAGAGAAAATGATCCAAAAAGACGACATCACATTTCTAGACTCAATGAAGGTTGCATATCTGGGGTGGTATTTATCATTTGTTTGCCCGCTTTTAAATCCTTTACAAGATTTTACAAGCCCCATGTTTAACTTTCATCAAACGCAAGATGAAAACAACTGTTCCTTTTTTTTAATGGTAGACCACAGAATTCGTGCAATGGCTTTGAGTATAATATTTTCAGAAGCGTGACACTGACAGTATAGAAATCACTTTCTATAAGAAGTTTCTATGCAGATGGATAATGTATAAACGATACATTATGTTGGGTTATTTAATGAACAAGTTAGTCTAGGATGAGAGCTGTTATAATCAAGTGTTCAACAGAATTAGCAACAAAAAGGCCTTGCTCTGTGTATATTAAACAAGGTCCAAGCCATCACTGAGCCGTAAAAGGCATTGGATATATTTGCTTGTTCTGTCCTTTGAAACAGCCATTTTCTGTAGAAATACTTCTGAAATAAATAAGAATAATATATATCCATCTTTCTATAAGTAACTGTCAGATATAGAACCATAATACAGGAAGGTTTGTTATTCTTGTCAACCATAACAATCTAGTCTATTCTTGTCAACCTAATGGATGATCACTTGACTATGAGCCAGCAGTGTGCAGCAGCAGCCAAAAAAGCTAATACAATTGTAAGGACCCACCCCACTTTGCATCTCAAGAAGACAGAACTCTTGGAATATTTCTTTCAACAGGCATCCTTTATTAAGAGAAAATGGTTGCAGGCGTTCTAGACAGGACCTGGGGCCCAAGCCCTATGGTTCAAGATTTTAAGGGGTCCCCAGCAGCCCCACCCCACCCCATCATCTTTCCAGCGACAATCCCAGGCGTTACATTTCCACCCCCTTTTTCCTCACTGCCGATGGAAGGGAGACTTCAGAGAGAAGTAGATGAAAGCTTGATGGCCCCATTGTTATGCTTTAGTCCTTTTGGTGGTATCCACATTCAATTCCTTTGAAGTTGTACCAAAGGAAGTGAGGACCATAAAACCCTTCCCCTTCATTGTATGACAGAATCCAGAGAGGGCAGAAATGGGGTTTTCCATAGTCGATAACTAGAGATGAAATGTAATTGGATTCTGACAACAATCCTGGGTTGTATAAACAGAGGCATAGAATCAAGATCATGTGAAGTATTAGTACCGCTTTACAAAACCCTAGGGAGACCACACCTGGAATACTGCAACCAATTTTGGTCATCATACTACAAAAAAAGATGTTGAGACCTTGGAAAAAGTTCAGAGAAGAGCAACTAAAATGATCAAAGGCCTGGAGACTAAAACATATGAGGAACAGCTGCAGGTTTGGCTAGTCTAAAGAAAAGAAGACTCAGGGGCGACATGATAGCAGTATTCCAGTATTTGAGGGGCTGCCATAAAGAAGAGGGAATCAGACTATTCTCCAAAGCATCAAAGGGCAAGACAAGAAACAATGGTTGGAAACTGACCGAAGAGAGAAACAACCTGGAATTAAGGAGAAACTACCTACTAGTAACAGTGAGGACAATTAACCAGTGGAACAGCTTGCCTTCAGAAGCTGTAGGTGTTTCATCGAGGTTTTTAAGAAAAGACTGGACAGCTACCTGTCTGAAATGGTATAGGTTTTCCTGCTTGAGGAGGGGGCTGGACTAGAAGACCTCCAAGGTCCCTTCCAGACCTATTCTATAATACAGGAAGGCTTATTCATTCTTGTTAACAGGAAGAAAAGGTCAATGGAACAATGTTTGAATAATGTATTTATTTGCTTTTAGTGATTTGGTATTTCAGCTACTCTGTATCTCTTAAAAATGTTCATATGCCATATTATTTTCCCTCAACCTTCATGGCATTAGTATTGGCAATTAGCACTAATGCACAATAAATAGTTCTGAAAAAGTAAGAAAAAGTATACTTTTTGCCCAGTATATGAATCTACCATAGCAGTATTTCTAAACCTTGGCAACTTTAAGTTGTATAGACTTCAACTACCAGAATTCCTTAGCCATCTTGCTGGTTGGGGAGTGCTGGGAATTGAAGTCCACACATCTTAAGGTTGTAAGGTTGAAAAACCCTGTATTACTGTATTACAACATCTCCAAAAGATGACCAAGAGGTTTCTATTCAAAAACTTCCAGCAAAGAGTCCATCACCTCTTGTGGCAATCTCTTCATTGTTGAACAGCTCTTATTGCTAGATTTTTTTCCCCTGATGCCCAGCTGAAATCTGATTTGTAATTTATATTAATTCTTTCTGTGCTATCGTCTGAAATGTCTGTAAACAATTCTACCTCATCTCCTATATAACCCTTCTGATTACCAAGGACAGTTAATATATTTTCCCACAGTCCTCTCTTCTCCAGTTCACATACTCAATGCCTCCAATAATTTTTTTTGCGAGTTTCACCCCCCCATGTGCTCCTTTGGACATATTCTAGTATCTATTAAAATGTGATGCCCAGATGTATGGTCTCAGTACAGAATATTACTATATTTCTGATATCATCTAGAGATTTAATTGCTTTTTTGCAGCTAAATCACACTGTTGGCTTGTGTTCAGCTTCTGATTCACCAAGATACCCAGAATGTTTTCTCATGCACTGTTTCCACTGTTTCCTAGTATAGGAATGTACCCATTCATGTCAACCTAATGTAGAATTTTGCATTTCTCCCTGTTGAAAAATATACTGCCTATTTTACAGCTTATCAACATTTTCTTGAATCCTCATACTATCCTTCAAAAGATTTGCCATGTTCTCATCCTCATTATTGGTTTGTCAAGGTTACTTTGTTATTATTGTGTGTGGCAACCTGGAGCTGGTCTCCACTGGGGAAGATGTCTGAATTGACATTTGAATTTTCTGTCTCATGGGTTTGTGATGTATGTAATATTATTTTTTTTAATCTGAAATTCTTGAGCAGGAACTAAAGCTTGATCAAAAAACGCCATTACGTGTACTTCATCGGCGGCCACTAGCTGTCAGAGTTCGTATCATCCACAGCATGCAGTCTGAGTACATAGATGAGCACCATTTCCGTCTTCAGTTGAAGACACAAGCGGGGACGTATCCTTTCTGAACTGAAGTGCCTCATTGGGCAGGAATTCTGTATCGAGCTCTTCAATAAAAGAATAGTATTAAATATTGAAGAATGAACATAAATCTTCAAGTATAATTTTCCTTGGGTCAAAAAATTGTGTGAAATACACATGATTCTTGTTCCTTTCTGTCTTTTTTCTCTATCCCCTTCCTCCAGAAGGTGGCATGGTCTCTTCTAAACCCGCCTCCCCCCCCCCCGAATTTGCTATATCCTGTCATTTAGCCCTGGCTGTGTGTTTGAGAAAGGGAGATGTGCATATTCTAAAGTCTTACTTTAAAATATATTCTAACAAGCTCATCTTTCTCGTTTCCTTAACGGCAAACTGTTAGTTATGTTAAAGAATTTGTACATGGAGATTTTGGTAGAACCAAGCCCAATATTGGTTTCCTGTTGGAGACAACTGCAGACATCTTGGAGCTGGATGTAGAGGTAAGTATGTCTCTGTAGACAAAAGGATGGAATTGCCACCATTGGTCTTTCTAGTAGGAAATTAAGGGACAAATCACAGAGGATTTGTTTCAGATCTAGCAGAGTTTATTCTAATCTCTGAAATCTGTATCATTTCCTACAGCATCTCATCCCTCTTCAAAACTTTTCCTGTTAGACTGAGAGAGTGCAGATTTGGTTTTGTGTGTGGAGAATCACAGAGGTTCATTGGGCATACATTTGTAGTTTAAACTCCAGATTAGAGCATAACAATCAGATATCACCCCAAGTTGGTTTTTAAATGGCTTTTCATCCAAGATTTTAAAGGCTAATTGGATGTTAACTTCAGGTATATTGTCGCTTTCCCCAGTCTGGGAACATACAGATGTATTAACTACACTCGTCGTGGTTTTCGTGGTGGTTCCATTTTGTGGTGGTCCCATTGTCCCATACTTGGAAAACCAAGTTTCATCATTTGTAGTGAATCCATTATCTGAGGTTAGATATTCTGCAAACAAATGAGTTAGCTCTGATTTAATTAATTTTCTTTATTTTTTCCTGCAGTCTGTGGATGTTGACTGGCCACCAGCTCTAGACGATTAAGAAGCAATTTTAATTTTCAAGATGGGGGAAAGACATATCCATGGCAGGATTTAGAGCACTGTGGGAAACATTTTATAAGCTAGCTGGATGACTTTCCTGGATTTTTGTAAACCATTTTAGATCATGTTGATCTGCCCAAGAATGATTTGTTTTTAATTAAAAAGAACTCTCAAATTGATTTACACATTTTAGAAATAATGCATTTCCGTTTGACCCCATTACCAATACAATATAAATTGGTACCTATGTAGTACGGATACAGATCCTCACCGAGAAAGAATAATTTTGCAAAGGGGAAGATTAAAACCTGAAAAGTAATGCTGCATGACAAGCATATTTAAAGACTTTTTACCAGAAAAAAAGAGGAAAGCCCATTTTGTTTAGCAATATCTTTTCAGTGCAGGTCAATTACACATATCCTTGTGCTTGCATGTCTTAAAGCAGCCCTCTTTTACTAGGTGCTTTCCAGATGTGTGGGACAATTTGACTAGAATTTCCAGTTAGCACCATTATTGTTGCTGGGAATTTGGGAGTTCAAGAGAGGCCAATTGGGCAAGGCTAACGTACACTATTGGGACCATTTTGGTAAATTCAGCTACTTTATCGTTTTTTCTTCTTATACTGCCAATAAAGCAACACATAGAAGAAAGTAGCTCATTGACTATAGCAAAATTTAGGAATACTATTTGTACATAATAGAATTCCAGATCCAAACCAGAAAAAAAGCAATAAGATACCTATTAGGGAACCCTAATAATTCTTGTGGCTGAGCACTGTTGAATACTGAAGTTTGCAAAGTTGCTGAGTCATCAGCATGCAATCCCAATAAAAACATGTTGCAGATTACTCCTGTATAAGTTTACTCAAGACGTATGGCTGCTGTTCCTGGGGAAGTGTCCCTGTGCATCATTAATTGGAGGAAAGAGCAAGCCTGATTGCATTCGGAGCAACTTGTATCTGAGTAATGGTATCTCCCAATGATACATAGGATTGCTCATACAATCAATATGGACACAGCCTTTAAAAAATACATCCCCCTAAAGGAAGATGTGTTTACCTTTTTCAGTATTAATGCTAAAAGGAGGAACCTGTTCCATAAGACGTCTTTGAGGTTTTCAAGGAGTAATGTCAGCATTAAGGTTACAACTCCCCCCCCCTCATCCCCCAGATCATGTAAAGTACAAAGAAAGTTCTGATATGAAGTAAAAGATTGTGAACCAAAAATGTCCAGAACTTTTATAAGAAAATAAATAGTTTTTCTTTCAAAACCTTGCTTGCTGTTGGGTTTCTGAATTGCACACATATATTCATTAGTTGCAAATAAACAATATAAATCAAGGCTTGAAAATTCACCAAACTAAAAAGAAACTTAAAAATGGCCTGTTAACCAAATGTTAGTTCATGGATTTAATCTGTGCAGTACGCAAGTAGTCCTTGATTTATGACCATAATAGAACCTGCACATATCGCTTCTTAGTGCAACCCCTTTAAGCCACTTTTCTGTAAACTACATAGTTGCGCTCCAGTGCAGAATTGCAATCTTAAAAAAATATATATTTTGTTTAAAAAGTTGCTGACTGAAGCACTATTTTCAAATGTGAAGCAATGTATTGCCCTATTTAATACAGCTTATGGCAATCTTGAGTCAAGAGGAGTAGTAGTTCAGTTTTATGCAGCCTTGCACATGAGGAGAAATCCACTTTGAAAACAATACTGTATAGATAAATAGCTGGCTGTAAAAAGAACTTCATTGGAAAAAGGGAAATGGGAAGCGCAAATGAAAACAGCTATCTTGCATATAGAATTTCAAAGTGAAGTCAGTAGTCACAAATTATTGCTACAGATATTCTCCATTAATATGTAGGATTAAACCATGGTTGTATAAGTAAAATTTCACACTCCAAAAGACCATAGACAACATTCTGAAAAATAGGAATGTGTTCATTAAACAAGTGATACAGTTCCAGATACAAATAAGTGAAATTGGAATTACGCTGTGAGGGTGTTAGTAGAAAAATGAAAAATAAATTAATAGTAAACATGAACAGGTTAGTAAGGCAGACAAATCCATTGAAAATAATATTTGCATTTCTGAGATAGTTTAGAAAACAAAAATTATAGCATTTCTAATAAAATGTGCAGCAATTTTGAAATAAGTGAATTACAGCCAAGAGACTACTGAAGTCATGGATTATTCAGTTCTTGAGAAATGAACATTAGGAACTAATAACAGAATTGGAAATAATTTTAACTATGGGGAACAATTAAATACAAGTTTCAGTGGCATTTGAAGATGCTGAGTTTATGATGAAAAAATAAATACAAATGTGGAAAAATGAAAACAAAAAATACAGTAATTGGCTTATAGGTCAATTAGTAGTGCTAGGATTAAGCATAAAAATTTATCTGGCCTTAACTGCTAGCTTGCTAGTTTCTTTCCCCCTTTTTCAGAAAAAGAAAAGAAAAGAGAAATTGTGTAGGATGAAATATATACAGATGGTTTGTGTGTGTGTATGTGTGTGTACACATATGAACATACATATATTTAACAAATTTATACCCATACACATACAAACATATATGTACACATACATTTAACAAATTTACAATAGACGCCTACACATTTCTTACTAAACATGACTGGGCAGTGTGCAGCCAATAACTGTTAAAAACAATATGACAACCATTAAAACAAAGTTAAATAATCTCTCCATGATTATTCTAAACCAGGAATTTGTTATACCTCTTCTCTTGCCTTAACTCCAATTAAGGTATGTAAATTTTTTTTTTAAAAAAACTGAATAGGACAATAAGAGAATAAAATCCACAAATCAACTGGCTCAAATCTCTCAGTTTTTAGAACTGAGCACAATGTAAGCTGGATGAAGCTCATATTTTATTATGGATTTGTAGTGACACTTCCTCCAGCCACTGATTACCTGAGTATTTCAGCAAAGTGGAGGCATCTAAGACAGAAAACTTGTGGTGCAGCTCCAATTGTATCCTCCCAATAATGTCCGTTATCTAGAAGCAACATGACCGGGAGAAAGTTAACCTGTGTAGTCATAGCGATGTATACTTTTGACAGGAAATACATGACCACTATAGGCCAAGATATCTGGTTAGATAGATAATTATTTGCCAAACATAGATCAATTCTTTTTATTTCCTCTAAATAGTACTTGGGACTTGAATTAGGAATACTGCACATCACCATTCCTATGCTCTGTGTTAAGGCGCATGCCTTCATCATGATTTAACAAGCTTATTTAACGGGAAGGTTGTAGAAACTCAACAAATACTTTTGTAATTTTCAAATGACCCAGTAAAGGGATTGGCTTGATGAAGATTCTGAACATTGTCTCTGACATGGTAAATCCAGTTTTTCTTGTTCTTTACCAATTGATAGGCATCTAAAGAACTTTTTCTCTAGGAGACTGAGGATATTACTTGAACATATGCTTTTGTGATCATGGTAACAGACCATCAACAATGTATATTGTAATATTTATTTGGGGACTCTCATTTATCCACACCTAACAAAAAACCAGTTATTGTATCTAATTTAAAAATGGTTGAATGTAACTACAGGATATGAATAGAACCTGTAGATGTCACTGTAGATCTGTTCTGTGCTACAAGGATAATTACCATCTATATAGGTAGTGTAAGAAGACAGCCTAAAATCAGGAGTCTGGTAGCACCTTTTCAAATTACCGGTAAGTTTTATTAAAAGGCTCAAGTTTTTATATACTACAGCTTGAGAATGACATCCTGCCCTCATATAGGAGATTTTACATGACTTCAACCTCCCCCACCTGGTTCATGCTGTGTAAAAACACAGAACTCCTTCCCTCCCACAATGGATTGAGTAGGTGGAAGTAATGTAAAACCTATATGAGGGCAAGACATATCACAAGATCTGTAGCATTCTGGTCTGACAGCATAAGAAAAGAAGATGGACTGTATATATCAATTACAAACACAATTATAAAGAAAACTAGGACCCTTAGAGCCCAGAAGGATAATGATTGTCCCAGTCTCCAATATGGTCCTGCTTAAATGCACTCCCAATTCAGCCCATGATTCCTTCTGATGCATTTGCAGATCAGGGGAAGTTCTTTGGCTTCTTAAGACTGGTGTGATTTTGAAAGGCTGCTTTCCCCAGCCAAGTGAACATTTTTAGTTATTTTCTTTGGGAAGACATTTTAATTGAAATGTAGTACGTGTATATTATTTAGTTATTTGTAGTGCTATTCACAGAGATGATTATTAGAAAATGGCAGCATCCAAATTGTTTGCTAATCAATCAATGGATTAATTAATATATGTCCATGAGGAATGCTTGGATTTCTTTACCCTAGGAGTTGGAAGTTTTTCTCGATAATTTTAACAATCTTCCTGTTGGTATAAACTGTATGCTGAACAAGGTCGACTTTGCCCAAGTTGTGCCATACCTCACAAGATTCAAATTTCAATCCTGTATTTATTAGCTATTAAATTGGGGAGAGAATGCTGATCATTTTTGTAAACTGAACAAAGTTGGATGGGATAGGTAATCCTCTAGAATTCAAAGCAATCTTCATGGATTATAGAAACGGGCAGAGAAGAACAGAATGAAATTTAACAGGGGCGAATGCCTGGTTCTTGAGTCAGGAAGCAAAAACTGAATGCAAAATAGGATGTGAGATATTTGATAATAACACCTGTGAAAAATGTGGATGAGAGATGGATTTCCCTTCACCAAAAGGCTAGTTAGCTCACATTAGTGCTTTACATTGTATATTGAAGTGGTCAGTGGGTTACACCTGATGAGTTAAATCAGGGATGTCAAACTGCCGGCCTGTGGGCTGGATGCATCATAGTGAAACCGTGTCCACACCATTGCCGGCAATAGCAAAAAAGTCGCAATACGTCGCGACATGTCACGTGAGGTTGCGAGTTTGACACCCAAGTTAAATGGTCTCTCGCAATTTCCCCACCTGAAGTTAACCATAGCGTTAACATTCCTTGACAACTGCAATTCCCCCCAACCATAACGTAGCCTTCATCTTGTCCTCAGCCTGCAAGTGAATCAAACTTAAGATGTTCTAAGCTGAACAATTTTAAAGAATATTTCCCCCTATTCTAACACTACCCAGAGGCTGCTTCAGTTGTATAAATGCTAATACGAGCTATGACACCTATTAGGTGGGAAGCAAACTCGTGTGTCCAGGAGGAGGGGTGAACCAGGGTGTTTAGCAGGTGATTCAAGCTGATACAGAAACACTTTTGTACTCTAATCCACAGTTAGCCTTCTCTGCCCCCATTTTGCTGTCCTTGTCTCAAAGGCTTAAACAGAAGTGGAAGACACCTTTCAATGGACAATTTTTGAAAACTCTTACAGAAAAAGGGAAGCCTTCACAAGATCTTGAATTATTTTTCACCTCTGAAAGTGAGAACTCAGACTAAGAAAATATACAGGCAGTCCTTGACTTATGACTACAATTGAGCCCAAAGTTCTGTTGCTAAATGAGACAGTTAAGTGGGTTTTGTCCCATTTTGTGACCTTTCTTGATGCAGTTGTTAAGTGAATAACTGCAGTTTTTAAGTTTGTAGCAGGGTTGTTAACTGAATCTAGCTTCCCCCATTGACTTTCCTTGCCAGAAGGTCGCAAAAGGCCCCAGGACATTGTCAACATCATAAATATGAACCATTTGCTAAGTGTTTGAATTTTGATCACGTGACCATGGGATATTGTAAGTGTGAAAATGGTCATAAATCACTTTTTTCAGGGCCATTGTTACCTTGAATAGTCAGTAGAATAAATGGTTATGTGACAAGAACTACCTGTATTTTGTGCATTCTTGTCTATATAGAGAAGCCCCTTCTCTGACTTCCCTGCCTGGTTTTTCCAAAACAGTAACCATTGAAGGTATAGATGAAATCTCTTCTAATTGTTCAGGAAGATCCGGAGTCACTTATTGCTGATTAATTTGTCTGAATTGTAATTCAGGTAATCCTTCAGAGTTTGTCGATTTCACTCTTTCCATTGTTAGTTATGGGCATAGTGCAGGGGTGGGGAACCTTGGCTCTTTTATGACTTGTGTACTTCAATACTCAGAATTCTGGGAGTTGAAGTCCACAAGTCATAAAAGAGCCAAAGTTCCCTACCCCTGGCATAATGTAATAAAAAAGAATATATTTGACTGCAATGGAGTGGTATAGAATTCTTTCTCTCTATTCCCCACCCCCAAATCACTTATTTGCTCCATGTGAGAGGAATCAA